GGGAACTGGTGCCATGCTTGCCCAGAAAGGTTCCAACGACAAGTGGCACCTGTGTTCCTACCTCTCTCAGTCGTTGGTCAGTGCCAAACAGCATTACCAGGTTTATGACTTGGAAATGTTGGCCATTATTCAGGCACTCAAGGCTTTCCACCCTTATCTCCTGTCACCAGTTGAACCTACTGTCGTTTTTACAGATCACAAGAACCTCAAATATTACTGGGAACCACAACAACTTACCCCATGCCAAGCCTGCTGGGCCACTACCATTCAGTCCTACCCTGTTCGCTTTTCGTGGCAGGCAGGCCATCTACAGGTTCCCATGGATACTCTTTCCTGCAGAAACTCTTCAGAGGAGCCTGCCCCCATGGCCATGGTTCTCCCTGAGAACCTTTGGCTTTTGGAGGGGGTGGACCCTTCAAAACCACAAATTCACCTCATTTCGCTGTTGTTTTCACTTACAAAAATACAAAAACAGCTAAAAGTCAACCATCTCGCTAGAGTAAACCGTCTCCCCGCCCGCCTCACTCAGCAACAACCCAAGCCTTACTCTCGCCCATCTGAGGAAAGGTCAAAAGAGATTTTGGCCCCCAAAGCTCGCCCCACGAGGGAACCCATAAAAGGAGCTCCGGGGGTTTATGCCATTTCCGCAGTCCTGTACAAATGCATCAAGAACAATACATCAAAGGATTTGACAGGCCCAGAGCCAAGCAACAATATAACCATAGTGGAAGACAGGACGAAACGGTTTGGAACTACTCACCTATATATACCACCCAAAGATCACTGCCACTGCATGAGATCGTACCATGACCATGAATCCACTGGACACCCTGGACAGAAGGCAATGTTTGCTAAAATGCACAAAGAGGTATGGTGGGAAGGTATGGGAACTGATATTAAGAAGTACGTTGCCAGATGCCCACTGTGACAAACTACGAAGGTCGTTACACACCCGCCAACCCCTCCTGTGGTCCCCCACGACACCCCTAAGACTGCCTTCCCCTTCCAGCAAGTGTCTATGGATCTCATCACGGATCTCCCCATGTCAGGAGAACAGAAGTATGATTCGATACTCACAGTTGTCAATCAGGGTCTTACTAAGGCCACCCTGTTTGTTCCATGTCATAAAACCATTGACTCCATGGGGATTGCCCAACTCTTCCATCAATTCATTTATTCCCAATTTGGAGTGCCAGAATCGGTAATCTCTGATCGTGGGCCACAGTTTGCTTCTTTGTTTACAAAGGAGTTGTACAAGGCAATAGGGGTAAAGGTCAAGCTAAGTACTGGGTATCATCCACAAACTAACAGAGAAAGCGAGCATGTCAACCAAGAGGTAGAAGGATACCTTCGACTGTACTGTTCTGAGTTCCCTAATTTGTGGGCGTCGAAGCTGCCTTCTGCCGAGTTCACCCATAATTCATGCATACACTCCGTCCACAAGATGACTCCATTCTCACTCATACTCGGATATGACCCATCCCCTTACCTGGAAAAATGTCTTACCCCTGTTCCATCAGTCAATGAGAGACTGGAATGCCTTGCGTCGAGTCAAGATGTTGCCATTCTGGCACACAAACAAGCACAGGAACTGATGCATGCACGCAGCAAAGGTTCCTACAAATCACCTCAAGTCAGAGATCAGGTACTCCTGGATACTGGGCATCTTTGTATCAAAAACCAGTGTGACAAAATTGCGCCCCAACATCTTGGACCTTTCAAGGTGACTCAGGTCATGTCACTGGTTGCCTTCTGATTGGACCTACCAGATACATGGAAGGTTCACCCTGTGTTCCATGCCTCTCGTATCTTCCCATATACTGAAAATGACACATATGGAACTACACCCGCAGCACCATTACCGGAGTTGGTAGACGATGAAATTGAATGGGAGGTTGAGGTGATACTCAATCACAAAAATGACAGGCGCAGAGGAAAGTGCAGTTATCTGATCAAATGGAAAGGTTTCCTGCATTTGTCAAATACATGGGAACCTGAGGAACACATAAAAGACCACACATCCAATGCCCTTGATCAGTACAAGCTCACTCATTATCTCAGAAGTTAAATGGACTCCCCTCGCTCAGTTAACACTGAGAATGACTATGCCAACCTCCTTGGAGAATCTGTTTACAACCCCTCAACCAACCATGACTCCTTATCCATCCCACCCATCGTCTGTTATTGCAACTCCTCTCCCCTGTCCTCCACCTCCTGTTTTCCTGAGTCAGACACCACGTCCCTCCTCTCGCAATATGTACTGCCCACTCTCACTGAACCTCCATGATTGTGTCCACACCAGGCCTTCTCGGTCCACCGCATCCCCGTCCCCTCTGTTCCCAGAGGCTCCCCCAGTGGAGCCAGTAAGTCCAAAGGAAAGGGAAAGACTGAAGTGGTCCCTCACCATGACACCAATCAAGGAGCAGCCTGCAAGGACTCCCCCAATGCTCCCATCTCTCCCCACCTTCACCCCTGTGAGCCCGTCACCTCCAGGAATGCAGCCCTTGACCTCCTCACCTCAGTCGCCCTTGCCAGGGATGACAAGCCGCAACTACCAATCTCAGCAGCTGACTACCTGGATGTTACTAGGGCACTTGACATCTTCAACGATGGGGATGACATTGACAGGTGCACACAGGAACAAGTTAAGTATTTTGGGTTGCTGTCTGAAGTCTGCAGAGTGGCAGACATAATTGGGCACTGCACTTCGAAGCTGCATGGTTGCCAGCTTTCTGGGACTGCCCCTCTCACTGAAGTCATTATGACCTCTATGCTGGAAAAGGGGTATGCAGACATTTTAGAAGCAGTAATGGGAGGAGCCTACCATCATCTTCATGATCAACAAGTCGGGGAGTTTTTGGCTCCGCCTGCTTCTCAAGTTCTTGATCGGATCAAACCTAAAAACAACTCCCTGGTCATCCCCAAAATGAAACCCTCGGCAGATCTGGAGGTCCAGTGGGATCCCCCTTTGGAGATGGCTGACAATGTGACAGTTTTTAAAGAGGTTGGTCATCATCTGGGAATGGGGCGCACTGACTCTGGTTGGGAGGTTTTTCTGACTGACACTTTGTGGAGTGGGCTTGACAAGGAGTATCAAAATGCCATCCACTCTGCCTGTCCTATCCCTCTGGCTCCCTTCGTCCCTGTCCCTACTGATCAACTTTGGTTCTATCTGGGAGGACGAGCCAAGGTTCCTGAGGGACATGCCCTCTACAAGTATGCTTGCTACCAGTGCCATTACCTGGGACATTGGTCCTGCCATAATGGACAGGGTTCACATTGGACCCAGGCAAGCGAGGAACCACCGTCTCCACCAACTCCATCGCCTGTCACCACTCACACCCGATCCCACTGCCCACTTCATAACCTGCCTGCCAACACCCGTGCCTCGTCCTCAAGGGTCTGAGGACCTTGGAGGGGGGGTGGTGTTACACCTGTTTAGGGGTACCTTCCTTTTTCGTCCAAAATGCAAGGTCACATGTGTCACGTGCATCATCACATTGTTTGTCCTTGCCATGGTCATCCTCAATCTGTTCACACCTCGTGCTTTTGGATCACTGGCAGTGGAGGTATTTCCAATACCTACTGATGCTGCATACACCCTCATCACTCTGACTTGCAGCTGTGCCTGCAGCTGATGGACAGTATTTCATTTATGTCTTAATCCCTCTTCCATGTCCCAATGACTTGTTTATATTACTTGTATGGTCACTTCTTAGCTCCAGTGTCTGGCTCCTCACTGCGCATTGATTGTGCAGCCAGTTCAGCCTTCGCTTCTACTTTTCCCCACATCATCCAACACCATATGACTCTTTTCTATTTCATTGTTTACTGCTGCAGATACTTACTGCCTGGATGGCATGACCAGTATGGTACTCTGTTGGTTGTGTATAAATATGCCCATACCATACTCTGTATCCTCAGTTTTTCAATAGCTTGCAACTCAGCTACTATCTTTGACTCGTACTAAAGTTCCTCCTCCATTGCGATCTCAGAAGAACTCACCAGTAGGAGAAACCTCTGCCAGTACTTGTTGATAACAAGTTGAGCCATAGGGGTTATGACAAGTTCAGCCCATAGACTCCCCTTGTGCCTCTCAGTGACTAGTCCATTTGACAAAGTCACTCAGCTCAGGCATAACAATCCTCATGTTTTCCAATGGGACTCATTACATTGATGTAATGGTCTCCAAGACATCAACTGCTCTCTCCCCATTGTTTCAATTCCACAGCACTGCTGTGATGAATTTCATCAGTGCTGACACGATCTTTTGCATGTATCCCAACCTGACATTCCATCACCATGTGCTGATCACCCACATCCCATTTATTATGGCTCAATCAGCTTCAAAACAATGGCAGCCCTGCAGAAACATGCCTCATGGGGTTTCAAGTTTGTCAAATGCAAGGACTCCATTTCATCATTTACCTTACAGTTGCAGGTCTATACCTCACACTTTGACTGACAGCAACTGTCTATGGGTTCAAATTTCTGATCTCCATCATGATCTCATGAAGCCTGCTGATGTCCTCAAATGCCTAGGCATCATCAACATCATGTGGTTACTGGGTGGGTATGTATGCAGTGCATATCCTGCATTTCTCGATGGCTATTCATTTGTGTTCAACAACAACATGTGAGTACATGATGTTCATGTGCCTGTGCATGCACTCATAATCAGAAGGGACCTTCTCTCCGATCAGTGCTTCATCAGAAGTGAGGAGGTTTAGTGTTTACCCAGCAAAAAGTCCTAGGTGTAATATCACATTGGCACTGATTTGTTGGGTTCTGCCAGGTCGAGGGAGTCGAAACTGGCAGAACCACAGGGTTGGAAAAGTGGCAGTGGTACAAATATTGATATTGCTTGCTGTAAATTATGGGATTCTATGACGTGTCCGTAAACAAGGTGCCTGCCATCCCCGACAGCCCTATCCTCTAGTGATAGTATTACTGTGTTGGGCTACGTCCGTTCCCGGCAAAGTCCGGACAGTCAGTTCCCACAATTTTTTTCGGGGCCCAACCCGCCCCTATTACACACATCTTCCGCTCCGCTACTAGTCAATCCTCCTTCCAAGCCCCGTCACCGACATGGCCAACGAGTTACCAGGAACCAAATATAAAGCCAAGAATCGTAGTTTCTTTCGCAAGTCGGATGATCCTTCGGCTGACCCTTCCAATGTGGTACGATGCATTTGGCACTTTTCTCCTCCCACCAGGTTGGTCTTGCTGAGGGCCGTCTTAGGGATCAACTGAGGACCAGCTTGTTGGGGGTCCAAATAAAGTGGGTTTGGGAGTGAAGATAAAGGGCTTGTTTGGTTTGCATAAGAATCGTCCGCAACCTACTCCCAGCAACGATCCTGCGGGCAGAAATGCCCATGGAGAACAAACAGGCAGCCTCCGACGTGGTCAACAGCGAGCGGGTTCCAACCTACAGCAACAACAACCAGTCGGAAACATCCATCAGCAGCCACACGGAGATACCCAGGGGCAAACAGATGATCCAGTCTCCGCAAAGGCCCTACCGCAAGTTGTACGCGAATGCCACTACTTATCCGCATATACTTTTAACACTCTGTTCCACAGCCTCCCGAAGTATATGGGTACGAGACTAATCGATACGGTTTGCGTATTAACCCCCACCATTAGAGTGGTCCAGTGGCCCGAATTCATAACCCAGTCGTTCCATTCAGCAATTGCCAAGGATCCTATTGGCACAGAGGAATCGGTATTCTATGGGCCATATACTCGTCTTCTCTATCACCTATTCTCTTTCCATGGACCATACGAGATTGTGCTGCAGTATAAAATCCGAGGTTCTCAAGATGGTATCGACGTCACCCCGACTTTTATCATAGAGCTTCAAAAGAAACCAGTATTCTTTATAGAAATCGAGCCCGCTGCCTCCCTCCCTGTCATCACTAGGCGACAAGAGGTAGATAATCAGATGAGGGAACTTGTTGGGGACTTGCGAGCAAACTTGGCCATCCCAGTTTTGCACGGTGTTAGTGCGTTTGGCACTCGCTTGTGCTTCTACAAATACGATTCTCGCTCGCGAGAGTTGACACCACAGCGGATTCCGCAACATCCGACTCGTGTTACAGACATCATGCCGGCCCATAACTGGAGCTGCGATGTCCTGAATACCGATGGGATGCAACGCTTGCAAAAAGTTGTAGAGGAGGTAAAGGAGATGTGTGCTCAAAGCCGACCTGCTACGTAGGTACGCGGTAAAACTGATGGTCGCTTTCTACGCATGAAAGTCTTACTTTTCCCTCCTACCCAGCACGACCAACAATCAAATGTGAAGACTGCGAAACAGGTTTCATATCCCTTGAGTTCCGATCCAGTTCTTTTTTATAGATTCGAATCCTTCGTACAATTATTTGCTGTCGTTGGTACGCTTCATTTTACTGTTCCCCGTTCATTCAGATGATTTGGCGCCCGTGTGTATCGATGTATGCGGGACATGGTTGCACCTGCGGGTTAAGGGGATTCGCAGGTTATCGCCACATGCACGGGCTGTGATCATGTAAGTACATAATCGCAGCACAGCGATACTCCGGAGAACTGGGGACTGGAAATTCACTGTGTAAACGAGTCCGAAGAATGAGCGGTACAATTTTAACAGGGACCGTTACTAGAGGACCGTTAGGACAAAAGAAGTAAGGTCCAACACGAAGCCGGTCTTCATCTTTGGGACCACCTACATAGAAGATAAGATGGAAGAGGACGGGCTTCATTGCCCTGATGATGTTTATTCAGGGCTGCTTTGACTCCGCTGCAGAGCTAGATGGGGCGTAGGTTAGGACCACGGCGACGGTACGCAATACAACACCTGGGCTGACATGGCAATGAGCTCGAAGCCCCTGACAGAGTATCCAGTCGGAATAAAATCCACAAGCAAATCAAGGAAGCGTCCTGCAGCCCCCGGCTCAAGCGCTGCGTACATTTCGTTAATTTAGCTTTCCAAGGCGAAATGTCTTCACTCACTAGAAACCATGGGTCCGGGATCCTTCCAGTACTAATATTATATTGCTCGCGTTGATAGTAGCAGCTTTCAGTAGTGAAGGATCTTGCCCGGAATCCAATTCTACAGAAACGCTATTAGGAAGAGCACTGTAGCTGGCACTGAAGGCGAACCTGTGATCGGGCCCTCCACCTAAACCGATGACTGAGTCCGTCAATAATCTATAGTTGTCTAGATAAAGCCATGCAACAGAGACTACAGCACAACGACGTCACGGTTAGCTGGCGGCGAGGCGGCCTTCTTATCACACAGACTACGGCCTGAAAATTCAGGGTATCGTCCCCCGAGGAATATACAGATCTCCTTCACAACCTCACGCTACGACGTGGACCATTTTTTGGTAGGCGTCACCCTCTTCCACACCGTACACTCTTCCGGATGTCTGACATGCACAGCAAACAGGTTGGTGTTCTATAGCGTTACATTTGCACGAATTCCCGCACTTAATATTTGTGCAGATGTAATGCTATAAAACCCTAGCACATTCCCACTCTAAAAGAAACAGGCGACAAAGGGCTTTTGGTGGAAAGTTGTCATCGTTTCAAAATTTTGAAAGCTATCCGTAACGACCCGCCCTTGGCATCATAGATAAGATCAATGTGCTATAGAATTGTCTCGTGCACGCTGGTTTTTGTAGTGACCATGTCAACGCTATGACTATTCGCGAAGACCGGAGTGGAAGGGGAAATCGAGGTTGCACTACGTTATTCGATGCATCCAGTCATCACCGATGATGGGGATTGAATGCCACTGTATTTCGTCACGAACTTTGCAGCTTGCTCTTGATCCTGCAGGCGCTTTGACTGCGCATACCTCCCCTCTAACCTAAATCCTCAGCTTTAAAGGGACCTGGTGATATGTTATCTATCTTGTTCCTGGACCATCTCCGGATCTCTATATCCGATGAATGTCATGGGTTCTGCCCTGACAGTAGCCACCAACTCAACAGTCTCTGCGGGTCGGAACTTTGGCCGAATTCTGTGATACGTATGCGAGGCAATATAAGTTGCCCCAGTACCCCGGGCTAATATAATACACAAACCTACATATTACACTCCGTTTTCGGCAAGGTGTAGAAGTTGTCATTATCCAACGTCCAATGAAATGATGACAGCAAGCACGACAAGTATGAACCTGTATGAATATTTGAATCATGATATAAATATTACAATATGTGGGGCTGCAGGACTATATGTCATCGATGGTCCAGCAATACAGATTCGACAACAATATCCTATTAGTCATCATAATGGATAATCGTATTTTGCTCTTCTCAACCTCATACGTACTCTTTCAACCATCCCGCAAGAATTTCGATGAACTGATCGCCACGTGGGTGACCCAGAGTTGTTGACCAGAAGGCACGGCCCAGCAATTACATAAGTGGAGATTAACGTCACGGGCTTCTTCTTTCGAGCGCCGCGAACCAACTTGTGCCTATTTGACAATATGTTGGATTGAACATCTCTTCCATGAAAGTCACTTGGGAGACAGTGTTCCTGTTCAGCCCACCTGATTGCTGCTTTGATATCTGCTTGAGGATCCCTTCTGTCACCAATCTCTCAAGGGGTTCGGACTAATCCTAGTTATCACTCAGACTCCACCTCCACAGTACAACCGGGTAGGGCGATCATCGGGATCCAATACATCAGGCAGACTACGTATTTAGTGGTCCCGATTTCAGACGCCTCCACTTCGGTCGACCTCGGAATCTCCGTTTTAGCGCACGGTAATGACCGGTTGTCATCCGCAAGTATCCCAAAATGTGTGGCGACAAGACTGAGTATTTAGTGGTGCGCGTATGAATTCAGATGGGCCACGCACCTCACAAATGTCCTCAGTGACGGGTGATTCAGAGGCCACCATCAGCGCATTCGTCAACAGCATACATCCAGATTTCAACATTATCATTTCAATCACTGCTTTCTCAGCCTGTCTGTTTACCCTCTTTATAGTCCTTTTTGCACTCTCCACCAAGGAGTCTCGACGCCGCCTGGTGTTTCGGCTGAATGTGTCTGCAATCTGTGTCGTCCTAACGCTGAGCATATTAGCTGGCTTCACTAATGGGAGGCCCATAATCGACCCCTCCTACCAGGTGCCAAGGAGTCTCTTTATTGCTACAGTTGCCTTCTTGTTCTTCCCACCAATACTATTCGACTCGATATTGTTGACTCGCCTCTTCGCGCTCTACCCCCCTGCCATCACTCCTCTAGCCACTCTACTGAAAATATTCGCATTCCCCTTCTGCGTCAAATGCACTCGAGTGGCCGTTATCGTGCGTTTTTTCCCCTCGATGTTTAGTTTCATTCCTGACTGATGCCTTGTGCAGACCATTTGCTTACGTGACTTCATCAGCTCCGGGAAGACTACCGAGGCTCTCATACGGGATGAGTTAACCATCTGGTTCCGTAACCCTTACCTGATCGCCGGGTGGACGGTTCAAATCGCAGACAACTTGTAAGTTAGTCCTCTATGTGATGATCCTAAAGGCATAGCCGTCTTTTCTGGGAAGGTACTCCGTCGGCCTCTTCCTTTACAACCTCCACGTCCGCTTAAGACCGATAAAAAACGGTGAGCACATTCTCCTTACACGTTCGTAGGCAGTCTGAATAACATTTGTTTCTCGGAATGCAGTCGGTATATCAATGTCAGGCCGCATCCGCCAAGTCTTCTACATCTCTGCCGCCAATTTCGTTTTCCCTCTTATATTCAACATCGCACTACTCTTCTTTGTCACGACCGATCATTCCCCCAATACCGGCATCCTGCTAGTCTTCATCAACAACTACATAACTGTCATGGGTGTATTGTGCGCAACGCTCTGGTTCTCGAGATTAGAGTGGGTCCGGACTCATGACGAGCCATTATCTGGTGAAATGCCGTCACACGCGCTGAACTTGGGAAGGGTGTCCGTCATTGACCGCAAGGCAGCAAGCGACATGGTGTTAATGGGGGCCAGGACTGTCGCACTTAACCCGGAAGAAGACATTGAAGCACGGGCGGAGTCCACGCTCCACGGGAAAACGAGGATAAGTATCCCATAGTGTGATTTCAAATCCCAAGCCATGTAACAACTCTGTCCCGGTTTGTTTACCCGTCTCCACCTATGGCGCACTTGCTTACGACCCTTCTTGGCATGATAGGTTAGGACAGCCTGTATACCGACCATGCTCTCTACGCCAATGTATGTATAAGAAGTGTGACGATACACTACAGAAACTAAAACTTCTGCACTTATACCTGGGAGGGAAAGGCTGCCAGTCACCCTATTGCGAATACGCATTGGCGCAAGAGCTCTCATTTACTGCTTACCGAAACTGGAATCGGTAATCGAACGTGCAAATCCTGGCACGTCGAACGTAGGCAGCAACGTGCCTCCAACGGGTCACCACCCGACGAGGTGTTTGCGCCGATTCGCATGTTGCACCTCTATCCCTCCAGTCTTGGACCTCACAGGTCTATGTCGAGCCCATATACCCGGTGAAAGACTTCAGGGATAACATTGAGTTTGTCATTATTGTCTACGTTTCGCGATATCTTAAACACGTCACTGAGATTATTACTGAGTGCTTGGCGCCGCGATCCTTCAGAGTTGAATTTTGACACGTACCTTTAGGTCCCTTGAGAAAACGGAGCTTGGCCCCCTTCTGTATCCTGTGAAGTAATTCATGTAGACCTGGATCTCCCACTCGCAGTACATTGCTGTAAGGCAATCCGATATGTCTTGAAAAAGTTCTTTGTTGTTCGTACACGAGGTGGAATGATATTTAGTTGATATACGGATTGGGATAGAATTGGCAGACCTTTAAGTGAAAGATCATAATAACAACCTCCAACAGTTACCTACATGCAATTTATTGACCATCGGTGTCCCCCACTAATCGTAAGTTGGATTGCGTTGGCGGAGATGATCATTGGACACATTATCAGAGCATTGTATCAACCAGGATTGACCCGATCTCGACAGCGCACAACCTCCGTCGTATATTGGACATTTTAACATTCAATCACTGGAACGCACACGTGGAATTCCGGGCGTTAAATACGCGATTGGCGTGTGCCCATACACTCCTGAGACAAAAAATGGGTTCCATTTACACCCAATCCATCTGATATCGTCACAAACTGGATGTCATTTTTGAAATTTGCCGAAACTCGCAGAATTAAAACTCGAAACTTTTGTTCAAGTCGTCGTGCAAGAGATCTCGCATTCCTGGCGGGAGGAGTGGCTCGCCGCCCTCTCTGACATACCCTAATTTATGGGTGGGATAGGAAGATAAGAAGCACCAACCAACAAGAGAAAGCGACACACTGAAGGGCATCTCGACGCTCTCGCGGGCGTTGAACCGGATCGTGGGGAAGTCCTACCAGATGAACTTGTTAAGAACCCATGAACTTGCTAGGCTAGTCAACGTACGACATATGGTATTTCGTCGAGGGAAACTGTCCGATGTTTCAGATTTGAATTCGCTTCAACCTGAATTGGATGGAAAACCAATGAGGAGCATACCTCCATCGTCGATGACACGCTTCGTAACTGCCAAAGCAGTATCGGTGGTCATCTGTACGGGTCCAAGATGTCGTGAGGGAAACCCCAGTCTGCGGAGTTCGGAAGTGCGGTCGCGAGGTGGGTCATCGCCTGCGACCCTCAAAGAGGGTAATGAGAGATGAGGGACAGATGGAAAAGGGAGACTTACCGAGGATCCCCTACAATTCATGGAACATTGAGTAACCCATGCAAGGCAAGAAATTGACCTACCCCAAATAAAAACCACCCGAATTCATCTTTATCACCTGGCTCGATGGCTCGTTCCGCTTTGGGGTCGAGCAAACACACTCTTGAAAGTGGTACGTTCTCCTGCTGGAGTAGCTCCGAAATTGATACCGAGTGTACTACATAGCTGGCAAACTGATGTTCGTCGGGTTTTCCGCTGAACGAGGATAATTTAGATCGGAGTGAACTCCCTGCGCTGGCGGATAGATGCGTGAACTGCACGGACGCAGACGAGCCTGCGAGCTTTATCATGTACTACATTCCGACCGATATCCATTCCCGGATTGGAGGCTTTAGTGGAAAGTGCGTTGACGTGTCATGGCACTCACGCAGTACTCGAGTTCAACCCAAGGGGGCAAGCAGGCCGGGGTTGATTCGTCCTCCTCCATGTGCTCTTCATCGAGATGGTGAACGTGAGGTTACGTCGTGCGTGGCCATAGGTAGCATGTTACCAATGCACGTCCGGTCGGACGGCGACAGTGAGGTGAGAGAAGGGATGAGGCGAGCGATGAATTAGTATTTCTGCAAGGACGACTTGCCAAAGATCGGCGATGTCGAACAAGATTAAACGTACCAATCACAAACGTGTATCCCATTCTCCCGTTCCGAGTGCAAGCGGTCACGATCGAAGAGTTAGATTCAGCCTGACACGGTCTACTTCTGCCAACGACGGGAGTTATCAGTACACTGCCTTGCAGATCCTCGAGGTGAAAAATAAACGTTAAACTTATGACTGACTTCGTGTCCCAACTGACTTACTACTTATTTTGTCCCTCTACGGTCCAGGCTGGAAAGTTGAAATTCTACTGGATCGGGGTGCAACTGCAGTAGCAAAGCATAAAAATCCTATTATTGTAAGTATCCCCTAATTTGCCTCTAACGCAGTAAATATACTACCATCCTCTCAAGAAATAGGTTTCGGTGAGGTATCATTTACAGTTAGATACTTAAGAGGTATATGACTATCCTCTCCTGCCCGCTGATCTTGACAGAGAGATCAACTCTCACGGCTTCCTCTTCCCAAGTACCTTGACCACGCTCCCTTTCACGACTCCCGCAGCCTTCTCTATCTCCTTCTTCGTCAGCGCAGCGGTGACGACTATCCTCACAGTCGGTCTTGTCTCCACCATTTCCTGGCCCCTCAACCTCTTCGCACGCGTGATAAATACGCCATTCACGAGAGCATCGTCGACAATATCCTGCAAGATTTTCTCTTCAGCTTCATAGTCGAAAGAGGGTCCAGTTGGTGGAGGCATGACCGTCGTCGGGTTCGTTGCTGTTCCGTTTCGCCGATCCATTGGCAATGCAAGGTATCTTCAGGTGGAAATGTACGATTGGACTCGCCCGGTGTCCTACCACAGGCAATGCCCTCAGTCTTCTCAAGCACAGCCCTGACAGCCCTCACGTTCTCTTGTAACGATGTCAGCGCCGACGGCGTGTTCCGTAAGAACGAAATTCCCTCGGATCCTGCGAACTGCCAGGAGTGGGGGCATCGAAGCTGAAAACACGAATGAGGTGCCGTTGATGCGCTGTAGTGGAGGGAGGGTGAGACATTAAAGAAGTGTCGTACCAAAATCATTCAGCATCGAGCCAAACAAGATGGAAGGAGGGACGACCTCACCTGATGTTCAGGTCACGATGGTGGAGCCAGCACAAAATCCACCAGCAGAGCATAGACCATTGGCAACAGAGCCAACTAGCATGTCGACTTGGGAAGCCTAGGGAGCATGAAGTGCGGATGAGATGAGTAAACGACGTGACGTGATGCACAGGGACGGAAGAAAAATAATCGGAATCAGAAGTCAGAGGTCGAAAAACGGGGTGAGAAAGGAGGTCGAAGACTCTGAGTGCGAAGTACTATGGGCCCATCTAGAACTAAAGAAAGGTGACTTACGGGAACATTGTATAACTCTGTAAGGCCTCTTCCAGTCCTACCGACTGAACCAAAGGAGATGCTTTCATCGAGAATAAGCCGATACTTGTACTTGTGCTTCAACTCAATCTGTCATGCACACACTCGTCAGCACCGGATTACAGACGGAGACGCAAGCCATATGCAAAATCCAGTGGAGATAAAACCGTTGGGGAAAAAACCACCTACCAACTTGGGCAAGTCTACAATCTCCCCATCTCTCTCGAAAATCCCCTCAGTAATTATAAATCGCCTGGTAATAGGCGTGCCTCTCTTTCTCCTGTCCTTCTCTACGCTAATTCAACACGTCCTCCAAACTCTTCAAATCGTTATGGTCGTACCACCGCACAGTGGAACGGGATATCTGTATACCTTTCTGAATCGCGAAGTTGACTGCACGATCTGCAACAATGATGTCCCCACGTTTACAGAAGGCAGGAATGACGGAAGAAATGGTAACGAAGCCTTGCGAGTAGAGAATAGCAGACTCTGTGCCGAGGAAGTCTGCGATATCTCGCTCTAGTTCCAGATGAACATCTGTGCGAAAAAGGTGAGTGATAATCGCCAACACCTTTTCAAATGCAAAGAACACTGCATTATGTCCCTAGTTTGCTTGGCGTTTGGTCACACCGTAGACCAACACGCGAGTACAGAGTGAAACACAGAACCTGAAACCTACCGACTGTCCCGTAGAATCCAGGAGGTCCACAGCTTCCTAGCCCGTATTTTCTCAGCGTCTCGACGGCTCGTTCCTTGATATGTTCGTTCCCAGCAAGGCCAGCAAAATTGTAACTGGCCAGATTGATAACAGTCTTGCCTGTAGACAAGATTTTTGGTTTAGGACCATTAGGGCCTGCGATCACAGGCACAGACGCAAGGTCGCGCTGTTCCCATTCTGTAAGAGGAGCGCTAAGAGGTTCTGGAGTCCACTCGTCGATAAGTTCGTCAATTTCCTGGACTATGGGTCAGCGAACTTGACACCCATGGAAACAAAGGAAATAAACTAGAAGTGAATTATACTCGTCAAGGGTTAACGCACCTTCTCGCTAAATTTGATCAACTTTCCCTCGCTCTTGTCTCTACTCCTTGACTGCATCAAGGTTCTCACCGCAAATACAATCAAAATCAACTCCTAACACAGTCCGACCTGGATCATTCTGGTGAGAGGAACGGACGTAGCGGGCGATGACCGCTGAGCCGGGGACCTTGTAGAACGTGCGTTCAAGTTGAGCAAGTATGAGTGTGAGCCAGGTCAGCAAAGGCTCAAAGGTCGCGTTGCCGGCCGACATGTTTGGTGTGGTTAGTGCAATCGATGGAACAGGAGCGGAAGACATCTTTCGTGCTCTCGCTCCTTGCGTAGACCCAGGTATACCCTGTGCAGCTTTTTCGTAGAGTCCAAGACAGCTGACGGAAAGTGTCCGCAGACTCGAAAACCTATTTACCGGTTGCTCACGTCTTACGTAAGTACATTAAACACGTAGCCAAGCGGACGTGCCACCGGACAATACTCCCCGCCTGATCAACCGGCCCAAACTCAAGTTTAGGCAAGCCGCGCTTCCCATGGGGACCGTATCAGACATTCCGGACGCGGTTTTTTCCGATAGTTGATTTTTTCTGGTCACTGGACCCTCATCTGTACCCTGGTATGATAAATGGCCGAAAACATAACCGTGGGGTAGTGTGGCGTACCGGAGCTGAACGACGCGCACGTGCCCTTTATTCACAGGAGTACGGGAACACTCTGTGCGCTGTGTATGTGATACCGCAAGCTTCAAGGCCACAGTAGTCCAGCGTAATAGCGTGGATGCGCAATCATCTAACGTCCTGCTAGACTCAGCAAGCTCATAGTATGGAAATTGTGCAGATGCATTGTTGCATTAGGTAGCAGCGTTGATAAGTAGTACGGACGGCCATGCATCATGGTATATGTATGTTGGTAAATGCGAGTGTGTACATGCTACGATAAGATTAATCAAGGAAATAACCCCAAAACCAATAAGAGAACGTACCGGAATGAAAGACGAATAGGATGTTGATTAATGCAAATATGACAAGTACTAAAGGTAGGGGGTGGAGAGGAAGGCCAGATTTTACCACACTACTCTCCCTTCCTCTGCACGCCCAAGCTCGAGGGCGAGCTCGCAACCCCCGACCTCTATGGCGTCCTCTACACTTCCGTCGAGGCTACCTGGGACACCACCTTTCATCCGACCTTTTCCGTAGGCGTTGACATCCATCGCTGAGTACAATGACTCTGGCTCACTCACAGATCTTTTGTCCATCCGTCCGGCCCTACCCGTACCCCCACTGATCGTAGGCATCCCAACTCTACGTACCGTCGGAGTAGCTGCATGCACGACCTGCGCAACATGTGCATACCTTGGGTACCGTTCTTGCTCGTGCGGCGCCGGGACCGCGCTCATGATGATGGGGCCAGAGAGCAAAGGAGGAGGGGAAATGTACGCCTGAGATAGGTCTTCGTAGTCACGGTTGCACTTTTCATTATCAATACAGCCGGCAGGGGAAGGTGCCTTGGTCTGTTTCTCTATGTTTGATGGCGAATGCATGAGGGGCGCTAAGAAGGATAAGCTGAGCGCAGCAGGAAGCGATATCGAGCGCCGACGCATCCCTGAATATTGCCGGGGTGCTGACTGGGAACGGCTCTGGGGTACATACGGCGGGTTAGAAGTGAGCGGAGGCCGGCGGACGTGTTGTGTTGCTGAGCTTAGGGGCATTGATGGAGCCGAAGAGGTGGACAAACTTGAGATGGGGCGAAGTAGGATGGAGGATGCATCGAACTTCACACCCTGACCATCTTCGACAGTCTGACTCCCATGGATAGTGTTATCACCACTGACTGCGGCCTGATAAGACGGTGGTGGCGTGAGTGGGCGGAGTACCAGAGAAGCAGAAGAGGAGGGTGAATACATGCTTGTCGTGCGCGCTCGCGGGTGCATAGGCGAGAAATGGAACGGATCATCTTATTGTTGACGGAGGTAGTCACCCCCTCCACAGGAGTCTCCACGGTAGTAATGGTGACACATTCCTCCGATATCAGGCCAGCTTTCTCGTCAGAATGTATTTCCTCTTGAGTTGTGGAGTCGACGGAAGACCCTAGCGTGATTTCGCCCTCCTCTTCACTGTCCTCACAAACGGGGAACAGCCTTGTTGGGCTCTCAGGGATTGTTCTCGTCGGACTTTCCGGGAAAGAAACACATGACATGCCTGGTCCCACGAGTTTGTCCAACACCAGGCTCTCGGGGATGCGCCTCAGACTCAATTCGCCGTACCTGCCCTGTCTAAGCTCAAAGTCCCGTGCAGTCCAAACATATCGTGCCAGTGGGGAACTGCGAAGCGGCTTTCCCAATGAGAGACCCGTGGGTACGATCGGGCCACGTATCTTTGGAGGGAGTGCGGGGAGACCGGGAGGACGAAGGGGCAAAGTGTTTCCGCCGTATTCATTGCAGGGTCGATCTGGGAGGTGGAGAATGCTGGAGCTTCCCATCCCATACTCTCATCTCAGAGAAACATTCCTGATCTCGGATCTGGTGCAAGGGTCGGCGACGAGCGATACGTGGCCCATATGTACGGTGCAGCAATCTTACGTCCCGAACTCCATGCTCTCCTCTTTGCTTTCATCTCCAGAGCACGATCGGTATCTCCCTCGGTCCAGCTCGTTGGCCCGCCAAATATACTTGCGCGAACGATGCGCCATCCCTCTTCCTGTGAACGTACATGGACAAGGTTCAGAGCGTTATACACACGACGCAAGTATTCAAGGCGCATTGCAATGAATTCATCTGTGGATAGTCCCTGAGTTCTGGGCCGCGCCTTGGGCGACCAGGCAGCTATAGAGGGTCGATTATTTGTAGCAGAAGGTTTAGAAAAATGGATCCGGGACTGAGGCTTCGCGGAGACATCCTGCGCCTTCGGCACAACAGGCTCCGGGGGAGGGGATCCGCGAGAACGAGGTCGGGACGAGACGGCCTTTGTGACTGGGATCAGTTGCTGCGTTTCGATTGTCGGTCGTGCAGGGGGAGGAACCGTTAATAGCAATTCCTCACCATCCTCCGGTGTGCGAGGTGAGAGCTGGCTTTCGTCGGAATCATCGTCCTCATTCACATCCGAGGGCACGACTGGACCAGTGAATGCCAGGCCTCCAAATCCGGTAGTCTCTTCACGATAACCATTCCAAAACCCGTCCGCGAAGTGCACATGGGCCCCGGAGAGAACGGCTGATGAGCCATTACCGTGCAGCATACTTGGGGAGTCAGGCCTGTCGACGTCGAATGTGAACCTATCGTTGTCATCCCAGGCATCCTCATAGGGGTCATCACAGTAACCGAAACTTTCCTCCGTAAGGCTCTCGTGGGCGCAACTTAGTTCGAAGATGTACGAGTCCAGCCCGTCGGGTGAATGAGAGGGTACACGAACGCCCCACTCATTCGCTAAAATGGTCGGGTGAGTACAGGACACGAAATAAGCCAGTGTTTATATACCATGGTCACGTCGAGGGTAAACAACTCGATCCTCGACATCTTCTGAATTTGTTTGACTCGAGAACATTGACGGAGAACACGAGAGTCTTTCTGTATCAGCCCTTTCTCCAAGGTCGAGCGCATTTCTACCCTCGCTTCGGCTCCTTCCGTGTTTAGCTTTCCGTGCATACACATAAGGACTGCCATTCTGAGCTTCATGTACTTCGGCATGGGTGTTGGCCACGAGGCCATGTAAAACCCACTCTAGGTAGCCCCCTGGAGGTACGTGCACAGAGAGCGTAAGAGCGGGCAGGACGTGGCGACGACATGCATCAACGAGGGTCGCACGAGCACGAGTACGAAGAAAACTTATCGGACTCCGAGTCCGAGGGGAAAAGACCTGTTGATGAGAGAAGGAATCCATGCCAGACGGGGTTGCAAGGGAGGGTGAGGGCGAAGCCTGCGGTGGATCGGCCCCGCCGCTTGGAGATGAGGACCGTGGCGATAATGAAAGTGTCCTCGGAACGAGGGAGCTGTTAAGGCAAGATCAGACTACATCGATGCAACAAAGTGTTATCACTTACGAAATCAGTGAGAACAGCAAAGAACGCTGTCGCTTGTGCTTCACCGATTTGTGAAGCCTTGGAGAACTACCTTTATTCAGAGAGTGGAGATCGTCTGTGCTGCTTGTCGTACTAGCGCAAGCACTGCTCTCCAGACTGCTACGCTGACCCTCTACGTCGTTGAAGGCTCTAACGTCGTCTGCTACACTTTCCAGCATCCGGGCACAGTCCGGATTCATAGCAAACTCTGCACTCCGACCATCTATGAAGGTCACCTGGATCTCCTTTCGGGGGATATCTAATTCGACCTCGCGGATACGGGCAGCAAGACCTACTGCCTTGTCGAAGACATGGATATTCGACGCATTCTCCAGTCGGAAAACCGACGGTCAAGAGACTTGATTGTGCTGACCAGGCAGCAGGACAGGGTAAATCAGGAAACGGAAGAGTGCAGGGAAAGTTAATGTCGTATGTGATGTTGCGTTGGGAGCAGGGTAGGATGAGGTTAATGATCATTGCACTTTTCGCGGCGAACAGAGATTATAGGATGCAATATACTAACTTGAATGGAGGAGAGAGTGTGTGTGAACGGTGCTGCTCGTCGCCGCTGGCGTCGTCGACGTCCAGCACAGAGGATAAAACATGTTCCCCGCTTGGTTTTCTCTTCTGTACGCGAGGTTACGTGAAGCCCAAATTTTAGTCTGTCTTCCGCTACAGTATCGCCATATAGACGTGACATCACAAATGCCAGCTGACAGCTGCAGAGTACAGACAAAACCACTTGCGCTATGAGGGCTAGTGAAGAGTGATGGTCAACGGAGGTCAGGTCACCTCAGAAATTGAGGCTACCAACGAACCCACGGACGGGATCCGAGGGCGAACGAACCATGAATCTCATACGTGGGGGGTAGCAGCCTTCTTCCAAAACTTGATCTCAAGGTTGACTTACGTGCATTTTGCAGCCACGGGGCTGGAACCCTGCGGAAAGGACATCCACACGATCGAGCTAACTTAGGCTACCAAAGAACTACAGAACCACGTGGAGATATCGGATCACTTTATCGTACCGTATATATAGCAAACACCGGATGCTGTGCAACTCCAGTGTCCACCTTCACAACTACAGCCTCGCTTTCTAAGAAACAGAAGAATGCAACCACTGCCCGAGAATTCATCGAATTGATGATGTTCTGCTAGAAGTTCCTCTCAGATAACAAGGGGACACTCATTAACCGTGGAGACACTGGATAACTCCTAGGATAGAATCGTGGATACGCCCTCCGATGGCAATGAGAATCAGCTACTGATGTGGAAGTGACTTACCCTGATGAACGCTGATTTCGTAGATATCACCCCTGTGTACTTGCACGTTCCCGGACACCTGGTTAATCAGGCCAATGCCCTATGTCCACAACCACCCAGCAGTGGCTGATATCCGATAAGGGCCTGTCATATGGTGGGAGATTGCCGACGCATGAGACATCATAAGGAAGATGCACCTATCACTGAGACGAGGAAAAGAAAGAGAAAAGGGTAGTAGCCTGTACAGCAAGTCGATTACCTGGTAATGGATTTCTTGCCTTTAGCTCCGGGAACCTACCCACTCTGTGGCCTTTCCAAGATGAATTGTCTCATATGATCGCGTTTGATGTCGTGTGGGTTCATGCATTCAACATACAACAGAAGGAACCCATAGGGGCGGTGCAGGTGGGCGCACCTCTATTACTGCCTGGATTCGCGGGAAAGTGGCCTTTGGGCTGGGGGTGTTGTACATGGATCCGAAATGATTCGGGTGTGGTTAGTACATAGCAAGGAAAGACACGTTGTCTACAGGATGCACGTGTTAAACTTGAGCTGGAGCGAAACGGAAGAAGGCACCGCAATGGATCACGATAAAGTACATAGGCATCGCCTGCACGCAGGAGAAACGAGGCGTCGAAAACATCGTGGCTTGTGATCATTCAGGACGGCGGTGGAGCTCGGAGACACGCTGCATGTTATATAAGTAACAAGGATCTCGAGAAGACCGAAAGGCTACCGTCCAGTCTTTGGCAAACGCCTTGAATCTTACTACCTGACCCTGACCCTGGCCATGGGAGCCAACGCAAGTCATCCGACGAGGGAACACAAGCAAGACAGCCGAGAAGAACGCAAGGTCAAGCGTTCGCCCACACTGTCGACGATACTGCGATTGCAGACGACGGGCCTCAACTTCATCGGTATGGGCAAGCGGTCGCCCCAGCCCCCCCCAACGCCAGTGCAGTCCCCGCCAAGTCCCACAACGGTCACGCCGCAGATCATCCACATTGACGCCCCCGCCGACGACCGGACGGCGTCACCGGAACTGACTGAGCCGGAGGACCGGCCGGAGATTGCCGCAGATGTAAGCCTCTGTTGTTTTTCCCGATTCAGGTTTGGGCGCGAAGCAACAGACAACTGACTCGGGTGTCTTTTGCTCTGCTTCATTCCTACTCCCACATCAAAATCAAGGCTTGTCTTGGGGACGCTGAGAACATCATGTCGCCATCTCAGCCAGTAACAGTACCCTGCCAGGTATGTCCAATTTCGTGCAGCGTCACTAGGGGTTCGTTCATTCGTTTGACTGTCCTTGATAAATCTAGTACCGGACGGGTCGCACCCTTGGCAGCGGCACGTATGCTATTGTGAAAGAGGCCATCCACATCAAGACTGGAGAATACTATGCATGCAAAGTTATCAACAAGAAACTCATGGAGGGTCGCGAACATATGGTGAGCCTTATCTCGCCGCCCTTTCCAGAAAACTCTCGTCGATCGGGCATTAATGAGGATGGACTTTACGTGGATGATACGAGGGACATTCAGTCGAAACTTTGCGATGGGCTCTGCACTACGAGACTCGCGACTGCGGTCGTCGTGTTCTCCGCTGCATCAACCCTGAGCGCTCAACCCTGATTATCGGTGTTAACCGCCCAGTTTATTTATTTTTTTTAGGTCCGCAATGAGATCGCAGTTCTCAAGCGAATCTCTAGCGGTCACCCAAACATCGTCACATTGCACGATTACTTCGAGGTGAGTCTAGGCCATATCAGTCACGTGCACTTCACGTTACATCCGACTGTAGACTGCTCATAATTTGTACCTATGCTTCGACCTGTGCACAGGCGGTGAACTTTTTGACAGCATATGTGCCAGGGGCCAGTACACGGAAGCGTAACTACACCGATTCTTCTGTGTTCTCCGCAGTACTCACTCTTATATTTCCGCAGCGATGCCGCGGAGCTCGTCCGCACGATATTGGAAGCCGTCAAGTACATCCATGATTGCGGCATCGTGCATCGCGACCTCAAGCCTGAAAACCTCCTTTTCCGTTCCAAGCCCGAGCGCACTTCAGAAATCATGATTGCGGACTTTGGTCTGAGCCGAGTCATGCCTGACTCTAAGTTCAATATGCTTACCGAAGTTTGTGGGACACCGGGTGTACTCTTAATTCAATTCGATATTTCCGTGCATCAGCTGACTTTAGTCCAATAGTACATGGCTCCGGAGATCTTCAAGAAGAGTGAGCCAACTCTGTCGCGCATTACTTTACATGACTTAAAACATTGCAGCTGGCCACGGGAAGCCTGTAGATGTTTGGGCTATGGGAGTCATAACGTACTTCCTGCTTGCCGGTAAGGCTGACAGTCGAGCACCCTTCCATGCCTGCTTTAATATTGCGTTTCATAGGCTACACGCCGTTTGATCGTGACACCCAGAAGCAGGAAATGGAAGCCATCATTGCAGGGGACTACCGCTTCGAGCCTGGTGTGTCGCTATCGTGCTCATATCGCCAGTTTTTCGTTATGGGCTAACGATTATACAAGAGGAATATTGGAACAATGTTTCTGACGCTGCGCGTAGCTTTGTTAGCAGCTGTCTCACAGTCGACCCGGATTTACGTCCCACAGCAGCGGAGGCACTGCAGCACTCTTGGCTCACTGCCGAAGTGCCACACTGCGTTGAGAAGGACGGTCAGCCAGCAAACTTGTTGCCGCAGGTTAGGAAAGCGTTCAACGCGAGAAGGACATGTGCGTTCCCCATTCCTAGTGTTGTTTTGATCTCGGCACCGGTACTTATGCATCATCGGTTATTATAGTCCGCAAAGCCGTGTTCAGTATGATGGCCATGAGGCGCATGTCGACGCTGGCAGCCCACATATCACCCGAACATCAGAAGTTCAACGAAGACCTTTTCAAGTTCAAGCAGGAATCGGAGAAGGAAGTGTTGGAACACATGGATGTCATCCACCATCACAATGCAGAGGCAGTCGTTCAGGACCCTGTGCCCACCGGTTTGGAGGAGTCCGTATCGCCTGGCTCATCGTCTAGTGCGTTGAAGCCCGGAGATGGAGGTAAGGACATGACAGATAAGCTTGCAGCTGTAAGCCTTGCTGCGAAGGTGAGCCATGCCACGAAAGCCATGTAGTACTTGCTTCTGCATTTCTGTTTTGTCGTCTGCTGGGTATGTTGCTGGCAACAAGTGTGCTTTTAGCTTAGGCCGGGCTAAGGGACCTTTGCATGCAAAATTCTATTCATTCATTCGTTTTTGTATTTTTCCCTGGTTGCGTAACTGACTGACTCAATAAACAATCCCTTTTTTCTGGTTTTGCAGAAGGTTTTCCACCGTCTCACTCGTTCCGGCAAGTAAAACAGTTCACTCACCACACGTGTCGAGGTCCCTTATGTGTCTAGCGAATAAGTGATTGTGATGAAACGGGTCGTGGTTGATGGTGTGTGCGCCTGCGTCCCATACATGCGACTGATAGATACGGATAAACAGAGCCTCGTTGTCGCCACGTTCTTTTAGCGTTTATCACCCTTGTGCAATGCAACTCCATCTTTTCGTCTGAACTTTATCAAGCAGCAATGGCAATGACATTATCATCTTGAGACGCGTCAGTCCTCTAAGCAGGCGATAAACTGGTCAAGGGCCCAGTTTGGTTCATCCCAAAAGACGAAGTGGTTTCCTCTGTCCAAACGGACAACTTTGAACTCCCTCGCCCTCTCTGCATCCTCCCCGAACACACTTGAAGGATCTTTCAAGGCCCTCTCCATCTCGTTTACAAAAAATATGAACAAGCCCAGTCCTTTTGTCCCACATATGATCCTGATCTTTACCCTGGGTAGGTACCTTGCCATCCCAACATTAAACAGAGCCTGTCGAGTGGCGAATCTGAAAGCTTCAGGGTTGATGGTAAAGGGTGATTGGTCATGAGCAGTGAACATCTCAAGAGACGACATCTGCTCAAGTTCATCCTCCGGGAGGCCGCTCAGAGAAGCTGGACTGTCTTCGTCTGGTTCATTGAAGTTTAAATCTGCGAGGTCGTGCGAGTGGGGGTTTGGGTGGACGTAGTAATTTGTGCACCACTTCTTGAAAGCCTCCCATCTTTCAGAGACCGTAGCCAGGTGGAACCATTGGACGGATTGTGCTTGTGCTGGGGACGGTGGTGGTATTCCGAAAGGAGGCGTAGGCGGATCTGGGCATGAAATTGTTTGTATTTCATGTCGACGACTGTAAAGGAAGCGGACATACCATAATACAAGATAGCCCAGAGGTAGGTTTCCAGCTGGCCAAGCTCTTCAGTCGTCAAACTGTCCAAAACGGACAGTACGGCTTGTGAATAGAACGTCCCCAAGGACCACCCATTGAGCACGATTCCACCCTTCTTTTTCTCCTTGTCATATTTCGGGATGCCCTGCGAAGCAGCGAACTCTAGCAAGAACCTCGTAATCTGGAGACCAGCTAGGCGGATGAACTTCTTTCCATCCTCTAAATCGGAGCTCGAGAAGAGTGCCACCTCTTCTTCGGTCCAGGGACTGCTTGGAGCGTACCCTCGCCTGTAAAGACTGACAATGCGGTAGTTGTGACTGGGCCCAAATGGAAACAACTTTCGGAATACAGCTAATGTGCGCCTATCAACCAAATTAGTCGAAGAACCTAGGCTGGAGACATACCCCCGTTAAATCCCAGTCCATGAATCAATACCATAGTAGTATAGTCAGAGGGGTCCAAGCCATCCGTCCTACTATCCTCGTAGAAGAAGTTGATATCGCCATCGATATTGACGAAGCTGGACATGTTGTGGTGTTCACTGTAACAGGCAAAAACACCAGGATCTCATTTTATATGGTGCCCGGACAGGTGGGCGGCACTGTGCCTTGCAAACCAGAAGCTGTGGGCAATTGGGTATCTCGAAAAGGTCAAGGTCCCTTGGGTGGAGCCGTTGGCTAAGGATCAAGTTGCTGTGTCAGATGCAGGCAAGGTGACTTATGACTTGTGGTGTGTGCATCAACCCGGGGAAATAAGATCGAGTTGCTGTGTCAGATGAGGCATGGTGACTTCTGACTTGTGGTGTGTGCATCAACCCGGGGAAATAAAGATCACCGTTGGCTTTTTTATGATGTCGTCAACAGTGTCAACTTACCCAACACTAATGACCGGGCATACACATGCACGGCAGAGTTTATCAACTCCGCGGCTAATCTCAGTCTGCCATTCATTGGCACTGAGGTATCCTAGCACCTTGTGTGCCTGACCTATTATGACAGTGATCCTATCAACTTTATACTTATATAGGATTCTGTAATGGCGATACGAAGTTATAGGACTTGCAGCGACACCACACCAGGGTTCTTCTTAAGTACTACTCGTTTCCAGAGTGAAAGGTCTGTTTGATTCGAGGTAGAAAAGAGAATCCCCGTACAGTACGCTACATAGGCCATTTTATAGGCTAGAGAATAGGCACGAAATATGTCAGAGTACTGCTACGGGTAAAGTAGGATCAAGAAACAAATGAGACGATAAGTAAGACTGTCATAGAGAATTCACCATCTGAACATAAGGTCGACAGCGTCGGACCGAGTCCTTACAGATTCCCACGCCAGAAGTGGGCCAAATGTGGAGTACACTAGTGCGACGACCCTCTCAAAGCTAAAGCCAGAGAGTTGCTTGCCAAATTGAATAGCAAGAGTATAGAGGAGGTCCTTCCGAGCTCCATCCGTGATGCAGCAGAGTTTCTCGTTACTAATCCTGGGCGCAACAGACGTTGTGTCATAGGGGATCCGTTCACTCAGGCCATCACGTGTGCAAGGAAGCAAACGTTGTAAGCCGGTTTACTTTTGTATTTCTGGATAGGCCTTTAGTATGGAGGGGAAGGGCGAACGGGGATAGGGCGTTGGGGTGTTGCAAGAAAGTGTTCGATGGGTTTAGTAGTCTAGAGGAAAATAGGATGTTTAGGAAAAGTTTCCAATTCCAGGGATGCAGAGTTGAACGAGCGGGGTTGAAATAGATTCATTGGCACTCTCAGGGAAAGGAAGCCCAGTTGGACGACTGGACAATGAGGAAGTCGATACAATGGGCAGCAAGAACGATGTTGTGCCTTGGGAAGTTGGAACAGATCAACGTGACGTTCAAACATGTGGAGGGGCGTATCGGAGATTCCGAAGAGAGGTCGTTGATGACCACATTGGTCCCAAGCAGTTTCGGCCTCGACTCCGGATACTAAAACCTGAAGCCTGGGAGCATGCTGTAGCTGGGGTCCTGATTAACAACCAGCACAGCAGTGTTCAAGATCGTGACTTCAAGTCGGCCTACTCAGGTTAGTTCGGGGCGTTCAAAGACCGTCTCGGATGTAGTCACGGCAACAATTGGCCAATTCTGGTGCAACACCAACGTTCTGCCTCGAAACCCCTGACAAGGGCAAGCAGCCCGATATGATCGGTGCTCCGTGGGTGCGACTGAAAGATAGTGCATCTGCAAATCGCTTAGTGCTCTAAGAGCACCGTTAGAGCGCTTAGCATCGGTAACAGTGCGTGCCGAGCTCTCAAACAATTCAAAAACTGTCCGAAGTGCATGCTGTAATTCGACCGTCTTGCAGATGTGGATACGTACCGTGTCGTTGTTACGTTCTTTCACTATAGCTTCAATAACCTTAATTCCCTTCCCCTTCTGCGAACGGTCTATCGTTGCGTTTGAGTGGTCAGGCAATTACAGCAATGACGTATTTTGTCGCCCGTCGGTCGCCACCCATCAGTCATCTAAGCAGGCGATAAACTGATCAAGGGCCCAGCTTGGCTCATCCCAAAAGACGAAGTGGTTTCCCCTCTCCAAGCGAACAACCTTGAACTCCCTCGCTCTCTCCGCCTCCTTCCCAAAAACACTTGAAGGATCCTTCGAGGCCCTCTCCATCTCGTTCGCCAAAAAGATGAACACGCCCGATCCATCTGGACCACATATGATCCTGACCTTCATGTTGGGCAGGTACCTAGTCATCCCAACATCGAAGAGAGCCCGTCTGTTGGCGAATCGGAACACTTCGAGCTCGACGGTAAACGCTAGCCCGTCATGACTGGCATACATCTCGAAAGATAACATCTGCTCGAGCTCTTCCTCCGGGAGATCGCTCAGAGAAGCAGGTCTGTCCTCATCGGGTTTGAACATATTTAGGTCTGCGAGGTCACACGAGTATGGGTTTCGGTGGACGTAGAAGCTTGTGACAAGCTTCTTGAAAGACGTCCATCTTTCAGCAATTGTAGCCAATTGCAAGTGCGGGGAAGATTCTGCCAAGGGCGGTCGGGGTATTCCAAAAGTAATCATAATCGGATCTGGAGATAAAGTTGTTTCGGTACCATGTGACAATTTCACACGAAAGTAAGAAATAGGACCTACCATGATAGATGATGGCGTGGAGATAGGTTTCCAGTTGGCCAAGTTCCTCAGTGGTCAAACTGTCCAAAGCGGACAGCACGGCCTGTGAATATACCGTCCCCAGAGACCAGGCATTGAGCACAATTCCTCCTGTCTTTTTCTCCTTGTCATATTTCGGGATGCCCTGTGAAGCGGCGAACCCGAGAAGAAACTTTGCAATCTGGAGACCAGCAAGTCGAATGAACTTCTTTCCATCCTCTAAATCGGAGCTCGTGAGGAGTGCCACCTCTTCTTCGGTCCAGGGACTACTTGGAGCGTACCCTCGCCTGTAAAGACTCACGATGCGGTAGTTATGACTGGGCCCAAATGGAAACAACTTTCGGAAGACGGCTAATAATGTGCGTCCATCAACCAAATTAGTCGAAGAACCTAGGCTGGAGACATACCCCCGTTAAATCCCAATCCATGAACTAATACCATGGTGGTGTAGTCAGAGGAGTCCAAGCCGTCCGTCCCACTATCCTCATAGAAGAAGTTGATATCGCCATCGATATTGACGGAGTTAGACATGTCGTGATGTTCACCGTGAGACGCAAAATATCAGAGTCCTTTTTATGTGGTGACCACAAAGGTTAATGGCGACGTGTTTCGCACATGGTTTTGAGAGGTCACCTTGTTATTATGAGTCGTTCACCAGGCTGTGTTATGAGGTAGTTGGTAGGGTTTTTAGTCAGATGTAGCATAGTGATTTTAGCTGCCGGCGGGCGCCCATCACCCGGGAAATAAAAACGTCACCGTCGGCCAATCATCGTACAAAAAAAATCGCCATCTTGCTACGTTTCTGACTTACTGAGTCAACATGCTCACTAATGCTCCACAACAGACTTGAACTGTGTAAGTGCCCACTGAGGTTCGTCCAGGAAGACGAAATGGTTACCTTTTTCTTTTTCCAAGTAGGCACCACCCACATCCCTCGCCTTCTCTGCTCCCTCGCCAAGGACGATCGATGGGCCGTTACCTAAACATCTTTGTATCTCATTCACCACATGCACGAAAAGTCCCGATGACTCTGTTCCACACACGAACCTAACCCTTAAGTCAGGCACCGCGACGGATACTGCTTGTCAAACAGTGCATGTCGCACAACGGACTCGGACACCTCTGGCTTGATCGCGAGTATAGTTGCACCGTGCGTGGCATACATCTGGGGCGCTGTCATCTCCGCGATCTCGTCATCCGTCAAACCACGCAAGGACCCCGGCTTATCTTCACGCGGGTGAATAAGCTCGAGATCAGAGGAATCACGCGAGTAGATGTTGGGATGTGCAAAGAATGATGGTATCCATGGCTTGAAAATCTCCCATCATTCTTCGACGGTAGGCGCAAAAAGAAACGACTGGTAAGGCCTCGGGCTTGGTAAGCCCATTGTTACTAAGCTCATATCTGCAAGCAATGACATGCGTTTCAGCCACACACGTTGACGACGGTGGAAGATGTACTTAATCACCGTAGTAAGCAACCGTGTGGAGGTAGCTCTCTAGATCACGTAGTTCCTCGGTTGTCAGTGCGTCTTGGCTGGTTAAAGCAGTACCGGGGTACAAAACACCAAAAGACCACCCAATAAGAATGATCCCGCCAGTCCTCTGTGCGTTCGCATACTTGGGAATTGACTGGGAAGCAGCGAAAGTCGGCAGGAACCTGATGATAGACCGGCTAGACGTAGGTATTCCTTGAGATCGTTGTCAGAACTTTGGAGTGGCTTCGGTTATTTTGCAGATCACGGCGTGCTGGATCCATACCCCCGCCTGCAGAGGCTAACCAGGCGATAGTTATGGCCCGCACCGAAAGGAAAGAGCTCTCGGAAAACAACTTTGGATTTGGACCACCTCAACTACATAGTCGAGGCGACGTCGTAGCAGAGGAGAGCCATCTACTTACCGCCATTGAACCCCATACGGTGAGTAAACACCACGGTCGTGTGGTTTGTGGGATCGAGACCACTAAGACCACTCTCTTCATAGAAGAATTCGATATCACCCACAATCTTGACAGTGCCAGCGAGGGGGGACGTTGCGGTTTGGAACAAGGCAGGAGTCGAACGTTCCTTGCTTATGTTGCCAGTGGGAACGCTTGGGCTATTTTGTGATATTCACGTTCTCCCGGCATCGTGGAACATCGACACCTAATGGGTTGTCGCGGGGTTCGGTGTGACATGGCGAGTGCTGCCTGGGTAAACTGGTCGCTTGACAGTAGGGCTCTGGTCGCATGTGTATTTGCTCTTGGGAAGAAAATTAGTCGTAGAGTGAACGTCCAGACCCTACTGAAGTCCCGAGTGAAATTGCTGGTTGCTAGGCGCTTCGGTGTTCCGTTTGTCGTCTTTGTTCCGTTCTCAACTCTCCGACGTTCCTTCTTCTCGTCCCTATTTCCTGTGTGCCACGCCTTCATGTCCTTGTAGATTATCCACTGCACTTCTCTGATGACACCTCTCGATCTCTGAGCATCGCCTCATGTCAGTCAGCCGCCTTCCCGAACCTGTTCATAGTACTTCTAAGAGTGGAATTTGCTCGAGCCTAGCAAAACCAAAAAGATCACCATGTCTTTGTGAACACCCTTGTATTCGTCGCTGCGTCCATATTGTAGGCTGTTCACCGCCCCGTAGGTCCATGGCAATACACCAATGGCGTCTGAGGTGCCCCGTCTCGAGTGATCCTGTGTCGTTGGTTCCAGCCCATAGTCCATCTGCTTCAACCTAAACACGGCTGGATTAGGCAAAGCGACTGTTCTGACAACAATCGACAATAGCACGTTTATGATTTCGCATCGCCTCACCCGCTCCATTCGTAGTAATCTTCGTTCGTTCAATTCTTGTTTCCTGAAGCAAACAGCGAAAACCCCCCATGGAGATCAAGATCAGATTTTGGTCTGACTACAGTTGCGTGTTCTTTGATCCCAAGTCAATCCAACCTATTCATCACCTCTGATACATTCTCCGTCTTGTAACCGATGTATGTGTTATCCTTGCATGCTTACACCGACATAGCACATGATGCGCCCCTATTGTTCCGTGCGAGGAAATTGTGGCATTCTCCGTGTTTGCTGCGTTCTGTTTACTACGAAACGCCGACGGCATAAAAGCAGATAAAAAGCCTATTATTCTTCCTGACATTGCTTCGATACTTTTACTTGTTTGTCGTTTCTGCTCATGGAAAGTTCAGCCATCGTTGTGCAACCGAGTCTCGAGCCTCCGATCAGGGGATTGCGTCGTTTAAAATCCATGTTGGATTACGATGCCCCCCTTAAACTTCCGACCTCCACTGCTGACGCTGATTCCCCGGCCAACATCCCGGAATCAGTGAGGAAATTTTTTGCCTCCGTATCGAGTCCCACCGAAATTTTGTCCTCAAAACTCGTCTCCCCATTAGAACGAACCGAAGTTATCGAAGGGGGTTTCAACTTTGCACACTTTCTTAACCTCGACACGGGTGAATCTGGCCGCCCCTTTCCCTTTGTTCTACGCTTTCCAATTGATCCCATCAACATCACCCGATGGCAGACTTGCACTGCCGTAGGATGTATGCTGTACTGTCAGCGACACCCTGGTCTCAATATACCCACTCCGGCTATCTACGCTTATAGCAGTGCCTGTGGATCGGAGTTCATAGCCATGGAATATATCGATGGAGATGCCTTGAGCAGCGCCTGGCTGGATATCCCAAAGGACGAACAGGAGGATGTGCTCCGTCAGGTCGCAGAAATAATGCATACAATGAGGAGCAAGACAAGCTTTAAAGCGATCGGAGGAATCAGTCCCGATGGTTCCTCGTGTCCTCTAGTTGACGGTATCGACGCCACATGTGGGAGGGTATGCTTTCCTTGATCGTATAACCTCATAGAAGCTAAACCTTTTTCAGGGGGTAGTTGACGATTTCGGTCTTTACAATATTGGGCCGTTAGTGCTTCGACGACGTCCTCCGCTCGCCTGCGTTGTGTACTGATGCTTTAAACAGGTATGAGTCTGTGCGAGAATATGTTCAATCCCTGTTCGACCGTCAATTCCACTACCTGGATCAAATGTTGCACAAAGGCACACTCTTGAATCACGAAGCGGAGTTTAGAGAGGAAATGAGTGAATGCCTTGCCAGTTTGACGCCTGAGGAGGCGTTTGAGCTCGTGAAGAAGGCGAGGGATGACTTTATGGCACAGCCATACGACTGCAACTACCCTTTCGTGTTGCGGCATGGTGATCTACATGGGCGGAACGTCATGGTGAGGTATGTTCCACTTCTCTCGGGAGTCTTTCAGATGGAAGTTATTCCGCCACTTAGCCGCTCTTCTCCCCGCCGTATACTGGCGATCCTCGACTGGGATTTCGGTGGTTCCAATGCACTTCCGTTGGCTGACCGTAACTTCGAAGTGTCTCACCCGGACTCAAGTGAAAACACTGATGTGCGGATTCAACAAGCAGAGGAGATATCTTGTGCACAACTACAGTTGGCTCAGCTCGTCGGAGCACTTCCAATTGACACTCAGCTGATTAGATTAGTGTGGTGCTCAAGCTGAGCAAGGCCGCCAGGAAAGCACGAGGGGCAGATGCCGCTGCTCGTCCCTGTGTGGATTCCGCTGAATAAGCTCTGGGCCAGGGGAATAACGCGAGTGGACGTTCGGATGCGCAAAGAACGATGACATCCATCGCTTGGAAATTTCCCATCGTTCTTCGAAGGTAAGTGCAAAGAGAAACGACTGGTAAGGCCTCGGGCTTGGTAAGCTTGCTGCCACTAAGCTCACATCTGCAACCAATGGCATGCGTTTCAGCTACACATACTGACGACGGTGGAAGATGTGCTTAATTACCATAGTAAACAACCGTGTGGAGGTAGCTCTCTAGATCACGGAGTTCCTCGGTTGTCAGTGCGTCTGGGCTATACAGCACCAAAGACCACCCGATAAGAATGGTCCCGCCGGTCTTCTGTTCGTTCGCGTACTTCGGAATAGACTGGGAAGCAATGAAAGTCACCAGAAACCTGACGATCTGTAGGCAGGCCAGATGTAGGTACTCCTTGTGATCGTTGTTATCCGAACTTTGGAGTAGTTTCAATTCTTTTTCGGACCATGGCGTACTGGATCCATACCCCCCGCCTGTAGAGGCTAACCACACGATAGTTGTGCTCGGTGCCGAAAGGAAAGAGCTTGCGGAAAACAGCTTTGGATTTAGACCACGTCAACTACGTATTCGAAGTAATGTCGTGGCAGAGGACAGCCATTTACTTACCGCCATTGAATCCCATATCATGGATAAACCCCACGGTCGTGTAGTTTGTGGGATCGAGACCATTAAAACCACTATCCCCATAGAAGAATTCGATGTCACCCGCAATCTTGACAGTGCCAACGAGGGTAGACATTGTAGTACGGAACGGAGAAGGGGCCGAACGTTCCCTTGCCTACGTTGCCAGTGGGAATGCTTGGGTTATTCACGTTCCCCTAGCATGGAATAGCAACTCGTAATAGGTTACCGCAACGTTGGATGTGAGCTGGCTGGACAACCTGGGTGGAGCTTTGAACGGGGTATATTTGTTCTTGGGAGTGAATTCGAGGCGTCTCAATTACACGAGCCAAATTGTGGCGTCAATCGCCACCTCCGCCATTCTCAGCTCAACTCGTTGCCTTCCTTACTCGACGGCCCTTTTCCATCTCTTTACCAATCTCGTCCCGTCGTCCCGTTCAGGCTTCGATCTGTGGGCTTTCCGGTTTTCACCTCAGGCTCCCCCGTCTATGCCCGTGTAGAGGGCATGATACCGGTAGTCTTTACTGCAGGATTTGGACGGAGCACTAGCAGAAAATGTATGGTACGCGGGTCTCAATCATGTCGACCGTAAAATATACGAGAAGACGGAGCATTTCGTCCTGCATTCAGACCAAAGGGCTTGACGGAAGGCCATCAGTGGCACTGACTTGGGGCACACAATTTCGATGTAGACGCACTAACAGGCTTGATGCTCCGCGGCTCATTTACAGAATCTTGTAAGATGATAATTCTGACAATGTTCCCTTTCCAACCTCACGACCTGCTCGGAGGACCTTCGCAGAGTGCACCACGTTCTCACTTACATGAAGCATTTTTATATCCAGAACCTCCCTCTGACCGCACCCATCGCGATCCCAGGGGTCGATCGGGATCTGGTTGTTGAGGGTATAGACATTATCGTATTCGAATACCGTGCTATATGATTGCATCGAAGCGCGCATCAGTTCAAGTGCTTCGACGCCTCGCTATTCGATCCGGAGGATCGTGCGAAGTAGAATTCCCCTTTGTTATGTATAAGTCTTGGCTTTTCAGGTCATCCAGATTCAGGGCGTAAGTATGCCCTTTCGACTCAGTCTCCGAGGCCTGCCGATGCTGTCGCCTGAGGGGTGCAACCCGTGTGTGGTATCACCGCATGAGGCCCTGGGTTTGTGGGCAGATTCGGATCCTGGTGAGAGGGTGAAGGCTTGAGAGTTCTGCGAGTGGAAGGATGTGGAGAAGATGCGCGAAGATTGTCGAGGCCGACTACGGAGCGGGGGGTACTGGTGGATGCACTGGATATTTCGACACGATTCTGGCAACCATTGCCTCACGCGTGACTTCGTGCAAACAAAGACACTGAATCTTGTGGAGCTTAGGGATTATTACTAAGCCCTGCACTTCCTGATCTTGAATAACACGATGTGGCTTTGATCGCGTGCATGATCCCATGTCATCGATGGCTTGAGGAATGTGTGCATCCTACATTGGGTGCCGTGAGCAAGTCTACAATTCATCGTTCTTTCCCCCCTAAACTCCAGGACGAACTGTATTGGAGGGCTTGCCAGCGATGATGATGAGTGCGTTCCAGCAGTCAGAAAGGCAGCTCTATAGCTGACAGTTCGTTGTGGTGGAGAAGATACTAAACGGATTGAAATTGTAACTCAGAATAATCATTGTACGGGCACTCACCTTTACGGGCGAAAGTCGGGTCGTAGCAGGAGATTACGATTATAATATTCGTCGATGGAAGACTACAGATGGACGGCAACAAGGTCCAACCATGCAAGCGAACAGTACCATCCGTTCTATTGTCGTTTCCCAGGATGGCCGGTGGATGGTGTCCGGAGACGACGCAAAGAAGACGATCGTCTGGAATGCGGCCACTCTTCAAAGAGTGCACGAGTTCACGGAACACAGCGACCGAGTATCGGGGGTCGATATCTCGAGCGACTGTACTAAATTTGCGTCTGCGGACCACAGCAATGACCACAACAACGTCTGGATATTCAGTATCACTTCCGGTATCCAACTCCTTCCTTCCCTCCGGCACCCTTGCGCTACTGGTATTAAGTTCTCCCCAGACGGCAGTCGATTTGCAACCACGTCGGATACTCATGGTCTCCGCGTCTACAGCACTCACAATGGCGATATCTTGTTTGATTCAGGTCGAGTGGGTTCATCCAGTGCATGGCCGGTTGCTCCGTTGGTCTGGTCTTCTGACCAGCAATTGTTCGTTGGGAGCATAGGAAAACTCACGTGTTTCAACCTTTCCAAGTCTTCGCACTCAGAGTGGTTCATCCATGAAAACCAGTCGCGGCCACATATAGCGTCCAACGGCAGATTCATTGCATGTGGCGCAGGCTCATCGGTGTCGCTATGGGATTGTGTGTCCCACAAGCAGATCAGTGGCATGATCACACACAGCTCATCGACTAATTGTGTCGCTCTCTCACCAAGCGGGGAGTATCTCGCGTGTGGAAATGGTAAGAATATAACAATTCACAATCTCAGAGATGCCCTTCCCCTTCACTATTTCGACCATAGTGTAAGTGTACATCCACTCATGAAGCTCGCATCGCTAATAATTCTTGTGCTCCTGCGTAACGCTACGCTCTAACCCATCTGCAGCTCCATGCTTCTCAGCTCCCGCTCGTACGAGTCAGTGATCAGACCCTCAAATTATGGGCAGAGGACGACCCGACGAGCGCCGAAAGGCTGCTCTCAGAGGAAATCACAAGCGCTTCGATTCCTAGGCACTGCGTACTAGCAAGCCGTGCTCTTATACGGGCGCGTCTGAGACACTTGGCGCTTGCCATAGAGGATGCCAAAGAGGTGAGCCTGCTTTCTCACTACCCCACGCGGATGTTCACTTATATCTGCCTCCAGTCCCTCCAAGTTCAGCCATCACCTATTGGCTATATCGCGATGGCAGTCGCTCTACTTAGCCAGGGAAATCGAGAGCGCGCACTATGTACATTTGTCCTTGCATTTCATGATTGTGAGCTGCACGACAACAGGTATCTGTTACTACTGAAGGTGCGCGAGGTGATCGAGATCGTTCTCACAATTGATCCACTTTCCAATCAGTTTATCCTTGTGTTCGAATGCGGGAATCAAGAAGAGGCGATAACGCACGTAGAGCACCTTGCTACAAGAGCAAACAGCGACAACGATCATGACGCCATCTACATCTACACCTAGGCATGTGCTTCGCGTGATGCGAACTTTTAAGTATCACCTCTGATACATTCCGCAGGTCCTTGGAGTCATGTACTTGAAGAAGGGGAATTATGGACGTGCGATGCCATTGATCGAGCGTGCAAAGAACCTAGCCCCCAAGGACAAACAATGTCCTTTGCTGGTGACGATCTTGCTCGTAGGTCTTCTGTTGTTACTACCCATCAATTTAACCTCGCTTGAAGATATTTGGGTGGAGTTTCAATGAGCTCGACATTGTTGCCCAGCAACGTCTATGTGAAACTCTCTATGCTGAAGGACGCGCAACCGAAGCCGTGGATATTCTCCTCAACATCATCAGGACATCGGATGAAGAAATCCTGAGGAGCAAGGCAAATTCGGACTGGCTCGCAGGCATGTCTTGTAGCTGCTAGCCTACTTGACATGCATGCTAACGTTTGTCATCAGATTTCACCCAAAAATGCGCTACCACACTTGAGCATGTTGGCGGTGAAGCCTTCGGATCTGAAAAACATGACAGCGCATTAATGCAGTACTCCACTGCGTTTCTCCCTCAATCCTCCAAGTCCCGCAGGTGTGTTTGTCAAGTGGAGCAGAGCCCGAATAGCCAGAGGTTTATGGGAGGATGCACTGCGGGATGCGAACGATGTATGCATGACGTCCTTCCTGTACGAGCCTGGTCCTTACAATTGGAATTTCTATCTAGGCGGTGAAAGTGGACCCTTCCTGCCCTTGGGGCTACGAGGCCAAGCATATGGCACTTCATGGAGCAAAACGGTATGACGAAGCGATCGATGCTTTCAAGTCTATGCTGCACGTAATCGAACAATCCTGTGACCCTGCAATCAGGCGTATGTATATCCTGTGTGAATATAATGCCCACAAATGACAGTTTCACAGAACTGCGCAAGAACTACATTTCTCCATCCAAGACGATTGTAGCTATTGATACCATCATCCTTGGGGTCCTTAAAGATGGTCCCCTTGTCGTCCTCGATGTCACCACTGGTTGCCTTTGCGATGGTCCTGAGCGGAAGCGTATCTTCAAGGCTGATCCATTGTACAAAGAGCTTGTTTCATCTATGACGACAGAAGTGGACGATGGGCGGATCCTACCGGCGGTTTCAAGCTTTTTCGGATATGTCATGTTCTCACATGCATGGCAAGGGAAGGAGCCGTTATTCCAGGATGTTAACATAGTCGGATCCATGTGGAACCTCCCCGACACGCCCCTAAATGAGAAGTTGCGCAATTTCTGCAAGGAGGCGCGCAGCCTTGGTTACAATTGGGCATGGTCAGATACATGTTGTATCGACAAGTCCACGAGCTCCATCCTTAACCAATCTCTTACATCTATGTACAAATGGTATGCGAATTCGGCAGCCACACTCGTATTTCTTGCTGGCGTAGCGCATCCATCCCATCCCGGAGACCTTGCGCGTAGTTTATGGATGACACGCGCGTGGACTTTACAAGAGCTTCTCTCGCCGAAGTACATCTTTTTCTACGATTCCGAGTGGAAGCCATACCTCGGCATTACTGGCGTGAACCACAAGGAATCCTCGGAGATCATGCAAGAGCTAGCAGACGCTATCAAGGTTCCCCGTGGAACCATCGTCAAATTCTCTCCAGACGATCTCAAGGTGCGCGAGAAACTTCGTCTTGCTTCGACGCGCGATGCAACGGTCGAGGAAGACATCGCATACTCTCTGATCGGCATATTCAAGTCTGATATCAAGCCCTACTACGGTGAAGGAGTCGACGCTCTCGGACATCTCTTGGAGGAGATTGTAGCCCGTTCCGGCGAGGTCACTGTGCTCGCGTGGTCAGGGAAATCATCGTCATACAACAGTTGCCTCCCAGTTTCCCTTTCTGTTTACAACAAAACTCCTCACAGCCCTCCACCACTGGAAGGGGAGGAAATGGAAAGGTGCATCAAGATGTTACGCGACAAGTTGTCACGGAAAGAAGCGCGGATTATATATAATAAGGTCAACCGTCTTCCTCCTGCTCGTTTTGCATCCCGCCGTCTGCACCTTCCATGCATCGTCTTCTCTGTGAGAACTCTCGAGAAACCATGCAAAGGCGATGAGAGGTTATATCGTGCTATGGTATCGGGACTTGGCCAAGTGGAGTTTACGACCGCAGACCAACTCTCGCTAAACAGGTCACAGAGATTCGTCTTCGTGAATCCGTGGATTCATCATATCCGAGGTCCGAGTGGTGGGGTTACCTGGGGAGATGACTCGGAGTCTGATACTGACTATGACGAAGTCGCGACATCACCCGCTGTCCCCGCGTCTCAGGTTGATAACTATACCCGGGCTCTAGAAATGATTGCCCGCCTCGGACGTTCGTTCAACGCGCTGCTCCTCGCACAGCAGCTGAATGGAGAGTACAAGAGGGTCGCTGCAGAGAACGAGATCGTCGTCGCAGGACTCGGAACGAACATCACCCCCAAGAACATCCACGCAAGAATACTAGACATTCTTTGACGCGAGTGTGGCATAGCTGCTGATTTTTCAAGTTCGATCTGTCTTCCGACGTTTATTGGTCCTTTTTCTTCCTTGTTTTTTCCTGCTGCCCTCGTTGGTTTGCTTGTTACATGGAGATGAAGACGGAATCTCAAGAGAGTTGTTTGATCATAGTCATGGACTACAAACGATGTGGGCTGATCAACAAGACGAGAAATGCTGAGTAGTACATGCACGGGTGTTCACCCTTACCATAACTTCCCCTATCCGCAAGATCTTCAGACCGAGAGGTGATACTACCCGTTGAACCACAACTTCCATGATTTCAGTCGTCATCCTCCACCATACCCCTCCTGCATACGTCGTTCAGCTGGGAGTACCATCTTCCACGCTTCCACCGGCCACCCTTCGACGATTGTCAATAAGTAAAGCTCACATCACATGTACCCCAGTAGTTATCTTCCTTCAAGTTTCTATCATCCATCTAGGGGTTCCTCCAAGCTACGATGACATCCACATTCTCTAGTTGCCACGTCAAGTGGTCACCAACCCCGTTACCTGAGTACCTCCATTTTTCAGGACATCTGATTCCGGCGAAATTAAGATAGCTCGAGCGGATGTTGTTTTGTTTCGGTAGGGAGATCACCGGGCGACGAAAGTTTTCCTAGCAGTGATTCGATCACGGCGGCTAGTGAGTGTCCCGCGTCTTGCGGGAGAGCACGAGACTTGTCATCGTCATCTATTACCATTACCCGATGACCCTGAAAGATGACTATGGATTGTCTTGGTGCCTTTGTGACTAAAAGGAATAGCGTCGAGAACAGAGTGACTTCCGTCTTCTATGGTTTATGGAATTTTTGCTGCACCTGACCTCCAGAAGTTCACGCTTGCCTCGTGGACTCATCTTCTAGTAGGAGCATTCGTGTAGATACAATTCGCAGGAGCTCGCGGTCGGGGTCACAATGATAGGACTCCCTCGCTCCCCCCACCTCCTCCTCAAAACACTTAATTCGAGGCCCTATTCTTCTGGCCCGTATACATTGACCTTTACGTTGGGTAGTAAGTACCTAGCCATCTCAACATCGAACAGAGCCCGTCTATTAACGGATCGGAACACTTCGAAATGTTGCCCCATCACGAGGAGCGTATGTCTCGAGAGGCGGCAACTGCTCGAACTTTCCGGGAGATCGCTCAGAGAAGCAGGTTCTGTCCTCGTCGAGTTCGGATTTGGTGGAGGTAGAAACCTGTGGCAAACTTCTTGAAAGACGCCCACCTTTCTGACGCTGTGACCAGCCGCAAGCGCGAGGAAGATTCTGCAAGGGGCGGTCGAGGTATTCCGAAAGTAATCGTAATTGGATTGGGGGATAAAATCGTTTCGGTCTCATGACACAATTTCATTCGATAGTAGAGGAATCGGACCCACTGTGATATATGACGGCGTGGGGGCAGGCTGCCAGTCGCCCAAGTTTCTCAGTCGTCAAACTGTCCAAAGCGAATAGCACCGCTTGTGAATATACAGTCCCCAGGGACCGGCCATTGAACATGATTCCACCTGTATTTTTCTCCTTGTCATATCTCGGGATTCCCTGTGAAGCAGAGATCCCCGAGAAGGAACATTGCAATCTGGAGACTAGCAAGACGAATGAACTTCTTGCCATCCTCTAGGTTGGAGCTCGTGACGAGTGCTGCATCTTCGTTGGTCCGGGGACCACCTAGGATGTGCCCTTGCTCGCAGAGACTCGCGATGCGACAATTTTGATCGGACCAATTGTAACGGCTGAGGTGCGTCCATCATCCAAAATAGTTGAAGAACCTAAGCGGGAGACATACCCCCGTTAAATGCCAATCCATGTATGAATACCATAGTAATATAGGTAGGCGGGTACAAGCCATCCGTCCCGCTACCCTCGCAGATATTGTCATCGATCCTACAATGTTAGGCATGTCGCAGTGCTCACTATACCGTGTATGGCACCCCCTCACACAGGTTGATGCCTACGCGCTTTGCACATGATCTAGAGGTTACCCGCATGCATGTTGTGATCGCGAGCTACTTGTTAGGCTGTGGTATGATAGAGTTAGTGGGGTTACCATGTCAGATGCGACATGGTGACTCAGACTTCCGGCGGGCGCTCATCGACCCGAGAAAATAAGGTCACCGTCAGCCAACCATCGTACAAAAAAACATCTCCATTATGCTACGTTTCCGACTTACTGAGTCAACGTGCTCATTAATGCTCTACAACAGACTTGAACTGTGCGAGTGCCCACTGAGGTTCTTCGAGGAAGACGAAATGGTTACCTCTTTCCAAGTAGGCACCACTCACGTTCCTCGCCTTCTCTGCTCCCTCGCCAAAAACGACCGATGGGCCATTGTCCAAACACCTCTGTATCTCATTCACCACATGTACGAAAAGTCCCGATGACTCTGTTCCACACACGAACCCTAACCTTCAAGTCCGGCAGGTACTGCGACGCATACTGTTTGCCAAACAGTGCACGTCGCACAACGGACACGAACACCTCTGGCTTGATCGCGAGTGTAGCTGCATCGTGCGTGGCGTACATCTGTGGCGCTGTTATCTCGACGATCTCGTCGTCTGTCAAACAACGCAAGGACCCCGGCTTATCTTCGCGCGGGTGAATAAGCTCGAGATCAGAGGAATCGCGTGAGTAGACGTTGGGATGTGCAAAGAATGATGATATCCATCGCTTGAAAATCTCCCATCGTTCTTCGACGGTAGGCGCAAAAAGATATGACTGGTAAGGCTTCGGGCTTGGTAAGCCCGTTGCTACTAAGCTCATATCTGCAAGCAATGACATGGGTTTCAGCCACACACGTTGTTGACGACGGCGGAAGATGTGCTTAATCACCGTAGTAAACAACCGTGTGGAGGTAGTTCTCTAGATCGCGTAGTTCGTCCGTTGTCAGTGCGTCTAGGGTGGTTAAAGCAGCATTGGGATACACAGCACCGAGAGACCACCCGAAAAGAATGATCCCGCCGGTCTTCTGTTCCTTCGCATACTTGGGAATAGACTGGGAAGCAGCGAAAACCAGCAGGAACCTGACGATCTGTAGGCCGGCCAGACGTAGGTATTCCTCGTGATCGTTGTTGTCCGAACTTTGGAGTAGTTCCAATTCTTTTTCGGACCATGGCGTACTGGATCCATACCCCCTCCTGTAGAGGCTAACTACACGATAGTTATGCTCGGCGCCAAAAGGAAAGAGCTTGCGGAAAACAGCTTTGGATTTAGACCACGTCAACTACGTATTCGAGGCAATGTCGTGGCAGAGGAGCCATTTACTTACCGCCATTGAACCCCATACCATGGATAAACACCACGGCCGTGTAGTTTGTGGGATCGAGACCACTAAGACCACTCTCTTCATAGAAGAATTCGATTTCACCCGCAATCTTGACAGTACCAGTGAGGGCGGACATTGCGATATGATAGGCAGGGGTCGAATGTTCCCTTGCCTACGTTGCCAGTGGGAATCCTTGGGCTATCTTGTGAGATTCACGTTCTCCCAGCATCGTGGAATATCGACTCCTAATGGGTTGTCGCGAGGTTCGGTGTGACGTGTCGAGTGCTGTCTGGGTAAACTGGTCGCTTGAAAGTAGGACTTGGATCACATGTGTATTCGCTCTTGGGAAGAAATGGGTCGTCGAGTGGGCGTCCAGATCGTACTCAAGTAAATCCTGAGTGAAATTGCTTGCTGCTAGGCGCTTCGGTGTTCCGTTTCTTGTCTTCGTTCCCTTCCCGGCTCTCCGGCGTCCCTTGTCCATCTCGGCCCATTCAAACTTCCATCTTCAGCTTTCCAGTTTCCACTTCAGGCTCCCTGTGCAATGTAGAGGGTATAGCATTAGATGGTGACATACTCTTGACGACGGCATAGTAGATGATACCATGACACAAGGGTCGTAATAACTTGGACGGTAAGATATATGAGAAGATGCGACCTAGACGCCTGGTATCTACAGTGAAGCTTGAAAGTGAGTCGTCCTCGGCCAAGGAGGACGGGAGAACTTCCTTGACCTCTGCTGTCGCTGTCTCATCATCAATAGTCTCCCCTAGACGGACCAAAGAACTCGACGAAAGGTAATCGTTCTATCATCAATGGCACTGACTTGGAAAGGATTGTTGAAACGATGAACCTCGGGGCGCACGATTTCGATGTCGACAAACCAACAGGCTTGATCCCCCGACCCCCCAAACTATCTGCTCACCGGTGAGAAGCCGTACTAGCGAAAGTGATGCGTGAGTACCAAGCAGGATGTCATAGATGAGGAGAGGATGGTGTTTGATATCTGGTGGGTGGAAGTGAGAAGTAAGCTGTTTTGTTCTTGGGTGCGTTGCACCATGATAATCTTGCAAAATAATAATGCTATCCGATGACGTTCCTTTTCCAACCTCACGTCCCCCGAGGACCTCTGCAAAGCGCATCGTGTTCTCACTCACGTCATGCATTCCTATATCCACAGTTTCGCTCTAACTGCACCGATCCCGGCGTCGATCGGGATCCCGTTGTTGGGGGTATCGATATTAGCATGTTCGGATAGGGTGCTGTATAATTGGGAATGGGAGAAGGTGCCCTCGACAATGAAGACCGAGTTGGAATATGCATATTTACATGCTGAATTTGGATAATCTGACAAGCCAAGGCTTACATGCGACGAAGAGGAATTTTATCGAACTGTGAGGCATCGAAGCACACGAACTGATGCATGCTTTAATCCTGTCGTCTTACATCTCCCCTCTGGTTGGGGTTGTGCATATGTTGACAAGTCTACTGATGGGCACTTGAGGGGTGCGGCCTGTGTGTTTTATCATTGTGTGGGGCCTTAGTTTTGTGGACAGATTCGGATCCTGATGAGAGGAAGTGAAGGTCTGAGTATCGGCAAGCGTAAGGATATCGAACTGTATAGCCCAAAGGTTTGTCCTGGCTGAATGCAGGGCAGAAGGCTATGCGGCCAAGAACTTTCTGGGTTATAGATATGCCAATAACATCACGTCTTCCTTCGACACGTTTCTGCCAACTCTTTCCCTACGCGTGACCTGATACAGACGACCCTGTGGAGGCGTATAATCAGGCTCAGGGATCATTACTAAAATCGTGATGCTGCACTACCAAATCTTCATCGTTGTCCTGATCTTGAAGAACACGATGCGACTTTGGTTGTGTGCACTGGTCCTATGATATCAATTGCTTGAGGAACGTGTAAATCATATAATGAGTGCCAGTAACTCTACGATGCTATCGTTTCTTTTCCCATCTAAACACCAGGGCAAGCTGTGTTGGCGGGCTCGTCAGCGATGACGACGAGTGCGTACCGGCAGTCAGGGAGGCTGAAGCAATCATACTGACAGTTTGCTGGGATGGTTACCTAAGAAGCGAAGCGAATCGTATCTCAGAGTAGTCCGTGTGCAGTTGCCTTTGCAGACGAACGTCAGGTGGTAGGAGGATATGACAACGGCGAAATTCGTCGATGGAGGCTTAAAGACGGGCAGCAACAGGGTCCAACCATGAAAGCGAGTAGTTGCATCCATTCTATGGCCATTTCCCAGGATGGTCGGTGGATTGTATCTGGAGATAGCGGAGGGAAGGCGATCCTCTGGGATGCGATCACTAATGAAAAAGTGCGCGAGTTCACAGAACACAGCGGCCTTGTATTCGGGGTCGATATCTCGAGTGACGGTACTAAATTTCTATCTGTGGACTACAACAACGTCCAGATATTCAGCATCACTTCTGGTGATCGACTCCTTCCTCCCCTCCCACATCCCTGCGTTACAGGTGTCAAGTTCTCTCCAGACGGCAGTCTATTTGCTACCGCCTTGCACTGGCGTAGTTTCCGTGTCTACAGCACCCATACTGGCAATATCTTGTTCGATTCAGAACAAAATGATTCAATTAGTTCATATTCGGCCGCTTCGTTGGCCTGGTCGCCTGATGGCCAAGAGCTGTTCGTCACGAACGAAGGCAAAATCACCTGTTTCGACCTTTCCAAATATTCGTCTTCAGAATGGTTGATCCATGATTACCAACTTTGGACACGTATAGCGTCCAACGGCAGATTCATTGCATGTTCCGCGTACTCATCGGTTTCGCTGTGGGATGGCAGTGTCCCAAAAGCAGATTAGTCGGATTTCTATCCCACACGCTCATCAGATCTACCATGTCGCTCTCTCACCAAGTGGGGGGTATCTCGCATGCAGCAGATAGCAGGAGTATCACGATTCACAATCTCAGAGATATCCTTCCCCCTGAATATTTCGACCATGGTGTAGGTGTATATCCACTCATGAAGCTTGCATCGCTAACAATTATTACGCTGCGTAATACTTTAATCCATCAACAACTCCGTGTTTCTCAGCTTTTGCTCGTACAAGCGAGTAACGATATCTTTGAGTCATGGACACAGGATAGCCTGACGAGAACAGAAATACTGCTCTCAGAGGATATCAGGTGCACCGACTCTGCTGCACTGTCCGTCAGTCCTCCGAGCTCCTGCAGATCTGCTTATTAATCGGAGCAGAGCTCAAGTAGCAAAAGGATTGTGGGAGGATGCACTGCAGGATGCGAATGAGGTATGTGTGATATCTTTCTTGGACAAGTTGGTTCCCTACATTATTAGCTGTATAGGCAGTGAAAGTGGAACCCCTCCAGCCCTTGGGCCTATGAGGCCAAGCACGCAGCGCTTCATGGAGCGAAACGGTACGACGAAGCCATCGATGCTTTCAAATCTATGCAGCAAGTGATCAAAGAGTCCCGTGACCCTGCAATCAGGCGTACGTACCTCCTCTCTGAATCTAATACCGATAAATGACAGTTTCGCAGAACTGTGCAAGAATTACCTGTCTCCGTCCGAGACGGTTGCAGTTATTGATCCTATCATCCACAGGACTCTCAAAAACTGTCCCCTTGTCGTCCTCGATGTTACCACTGGTCGCCTTTGTGACATTACCCAGCGGATGCGTATCTTCAAGATCAGTCCTACCTTCAAAGAACTTGTTTCATCCATGATGAAAGCCATGGACGACAAGTGGATCCTACGAGTCATTGCAAGTTTTTTCGGATACATCATGTTCTCTCATGCATGGCAGGGAGAGGAACCCTCATTCCAGGACGTCAACATGGTCAAATCCGTGTGGAACCTTCCTGAAACGCCACTGAACAGGAAGTTGCGCAGTTTTTGCAACGAAACGCGTAGACTTGGTCACAATTGGGCATGGTCGGATACGTGTTGCATTGACAAGACCAATCCCTCCGTCGTTCATCAATCCCTTACATCTATGTACAAATGGTATGCAGATTCGGCTGCCACGCTTGTATTCCTTGCTGGGGTAGCGCATCCATCCAAGCCTGGGGACCTTACACGTAGTTTATGGATGACACGAGCATGGACTTTACAAGAGCTTCTCTCGCCAAGAGTCATCCTTTTCTATGATTCCGAGTGGAAATTTTACCTCGGCGATGCTGGAGCGAACCACAAGGAATCACAGCAGATCACACAAGAACTAGTAGACACTATCGAGATTGTCCGCGGAACCATTGTCACGTTCTCTCCAGATGATCTGGGAGTGCGCGAGAAACTACGTCTCGCTTCGACGCGCAACGCGACGGTTGAGGAAGACGTTGCATACTCTCTCATTGGCGTATTCAAGTCCGATATCAGGCCCAACTACGGCGAGGGAGCCGACGCTCTCGGTCATCTCCTGGAGGAGATTGTGGCCCGCTTTGGCGACGTCACCGTGCCTGCATGGTCAGGAAAGTCATCGTCATACAACAGTTGTCTCCCAGCTTCCATTTCCGTTTACAACCAAACTCCCTACAACCCTACATCTCTGGAAGGGGAAGAGATGGAAACTTGCACCACGAAATTACGCACCAAGAAGCCTTGAGCATCTATGGTCATATCAACTTTCTTCCGCCCGCACGTTTCGCCTTCCGACGTCTATATCTTCCATGCATCGTCTTCCCTATCAGAAGACTCGGTATACAGGGGATACGCAGAGGCAACGAGAAACTATATCACGCCAAGGTATCCGGGCTTGGAAGAGTGGATTTTACGACCGCCGATGATCTCCCGCTGAACGAGCCTCAGAAATTTGCCTTCGCACATCCGTGGATTCGTCATATCCGAGGTCCGAGTAGCGGGATTGCCTGGGGAAGTGACTCGGAGTCTGATACTGACCATGAGTCTAATTTGGATGGCGACGCTAGATCGGATGAAGTTACACCATTATACGCTGTCCCCGAACCTCAGGTTGACAGCTATACCCAGGCACTACAGATGATCGCTCGCCTCGGACAGCCATTTAACGCGTTGCTTCTCGCACAGCAGCCAAATGGGGAGTACAAGAGGGTCGCTGCAGAGGACGAGATTGTCGTCTCTGGACTCGGAACGAATGTCACCTCCAAGAACATTCGGGCGCACGTCATGGAAATCCTTTGACCTGTAGGGAGTTTAGCCTCAACTGCTGGCTTTAGAAGTTGGATTTGTTCGTCCTGTATCAGTCCTTTTTTGTGTTCGTATTTTTTTGTTCTCGTCGGTTTGCATGTTAGTACATGGAGACGGAGGCGGAGTCTCGAGCTTGAAGAGCGTTCAAAGTAATATTACACCACTAAGTACTTTTGAAGAAAAGGTCATGCTCATGTGCTATGGACGACCACAGGAAACAACCTGGACTTCATTGAAGCCTTCGCTAACTATAAAACGTTCTAACCCATTAATTCTTGGTGCTCATAACCCTCGTATGCACCCCAGTAACAGCCATCTTCCTCGCTATCACCTGTCAGGGTGTTCCTCCAGAGTTCAAGCTACGGTGATATCCACATCTTCGAAAGGAGACTTCCACAACATGATTCCCTAGCTGCCATCTCAAGACCGGGTGGTCACCAACGCCATGATCTTCGTTTTCCTGGACATTTATGGTTCAAAACTACAGCTAACTTAGAGGGCATAACAGAGGTGACGGGAACGTCGGTTGCGCATCAGCAGCGGGGATCTAGAAGGATAGAAAGCAATGGTCGTGATGACAGTAACAACGAGAGTGCCGGTGGGCGTGCACCTGTTACTATCCAGCCACCGACCACCGTTGTAGCCCGACGGAGCGTCGGGCGCCCAGGCCAAACGTAAATTCCAGGACGGGAACAACGGTCGTTTTGAAACTCAAGGAGACACTGAGTGATGATCTGCTGGGTCATATCGTTCCCCCCTGCAACCCAAGTGCTGCCAGATGCCACACCATCAAGGTCAAGTTACTAAGAGGGAAGAAACAGGCACCTTTAAATGATGAAAAGCGCTTTGTGTGCTGCTGCCGCGGAAACTCATGTTTATTTTATTTCATCCCCTCCACACTGATTTGAACCCGTTGCAAGTCCACGCACCGTTATTTTTCCATCTTCCCCTTTCGCAGATACCAACGGTGCCGAAGCAACCTCCGAGTCGTTGCAGAGCCTAAAATCGATGCATAACGAGCCTGTCGCTGTTGTTCGACGTTAAATTACTGCTATACCTAAATCTTGCTTGGGAACAACGAAGGGGGACCGGAGTTTGTCGTCAGGTGTAGCCGCGAGGGGGACGAGGAGAGGCGGCGACGTGATGAGTGGTAGGACTAATAATGCATGTAGTCTTGCTACATAGCGCGATCTGGAGATCGCACCGTACCGGGATGGCTAGTGGATGGTGTCCGGAGACCACGGAAAGAAGGCAATCGTTTGGAATGCGGCCACTCATGAAAAAGTGCATGAGTTCACAAAACAGAGCGATCGGGTAGAATGGGATGGATATCCCGAGTGACAACAGTAAAATGGCATCTGTGGACTACAGCAATGTCCGGACATTCAACATCGCTTCTGTGACCGACTCCATATTCTGCCCCACCTTAATGTTGTTGGTGCCAAGTTCTCCCAAGATGGCAGTCGGAAGAGTGATGTTCTCGTCCAATTCCTCCAACGGCTCCCACGCTTCGGAACAGATCTAATGGTGCATTAACAAAGCTCAGGCCCTCCAAAACAGGGGGCCATTTTCAATCTGGCACCGCCCGTGGCATCTACGGTCAACGTATGTCCTTAGGACTGATGCGAAGAATGGTGATTGTTTGAACTAACTGACAGGGCTTCTTCATTGTAGTTAATCTATCATTACATCAAAACCGGGTAACGCTCACCAAGACGATCAAAATTTGCGCCCAATAAGAACGACGTTAAAATAGCGAACTTGAAAACTTCATCAACACTCCTATGAGTGGATCTGGTAATGCATGTGGTCGTTCTGACTCGGGATAGAAGTCGGACAGGTCGACGCCGAGTGAAGCTAGCCTATTGACGAGAAGGACATGACCCGCTCGATACGGTAGGTCATGCTGCTGAAGAAGACGGGCCTGGGTTGAAGAGAAGGATGCGGACGGCTATGATCATGACGGCCACGAAAGCGAAGCAGGACGAAGCTGAAGGTGGTATTGGTGACCTGGCGGGTCGTACGAGGCAAGCGCCAATATTAATGCCGTCGACGGTTACCCTCCCGCTGCGGGCGCTAATACGGCTGCAGCGTCTACGACGAGGAAGAGGGATCGACGACGACTACGAAAGCTGTCCTCAAGATGGTGGATAAAGAGAATACGCAGCCGAGAGAAAGCGGGGGGTACGTCTGGTCAGGACAGCATCTGGAAACATTGCGAATATAACGGTGACTACTCGCGCGAGACGAGATGCGGCGGCATGGGCGAAGACCAATCACCAATCAGGAGAGAACGACAAGCTGAAAGGCCAGAACTAACATATACAAGACCAACAACGCGATCCGGGACATGATGATCTTTGAAAGAGTGTATTGCCGATATATATGAATAAAGAACATGATTATTGCTACTAGAACAGATGTGTGCGTCGTAAAAGATCCAAATACGCGGAAGTCATGAGCATACAACTAAGTCATGAACGCTTAAAAAGTTATGCCAGTCATTACTGAACCTACGCCTTAAAGTACCGAGGATGCCATTCCCGTGCCAAATGCCATGCTAAATGTGGAATACGTACAGTGCAACGAGTCCATCGACCGACCATGCGAGCTGATCAGAGAAGTTGCTTGCCAGTCGAGATAGCAAGAGCATGGAGTAGGATCTCCCAAGCAACGTCCATGGCACACCAGAGCTTCTCGTCACTGATCCCGAGCGCACAAACGTTGCGCCACAGTCCGTTCACCACCATCGCACGCGTGAGGAGGATATGTGCGGGCGCAAGCGTTGCGAGTTTGCTTGCACATTGCTGGAGAGCATTGCACACGCGCTCGCTGGTGGGGTCTTCTGTATAGAGCGCAGGAGGAACGGGGCAGGACAGGATGGTTGCGAGAAGGTAGTCGATGCGCTTAGTGTACAGGAAGGTGGAAAGTTGGGGGAAGACTTCCGGTGCAGGGATGCACAACGGAACGATTGGGATCGTAATAGATTCACCAGCCTTCTCGGGGGAAGTCGGGTTCGACTGTTGGAGAATAGGGAGGTTGGCGCAGTGGGAGGCAAGAACGATGTTGTGGATTGGGAACAGCTTGACGCGACGTTTGGCGGCAGCTGGTACTTGGCGAGAGTAGACTGCGAGCATGTGGGTGGGCATGTCGGAAGAGAGGTCGTTTATGACCACTGAGAGCTCCTTGGGGAGCACGTTGGGAGCTGCTTCGGCCTTGACTCCAGCTAATACTTGGAGCATGCTGTAAGGGTGTCGATTAGTAACTGACGATGGGTGTACCAAGAACAAATCGACTTACTTAGGTCCGAGGCATTCAAGACCTGTCACGAATGTAAGTCAACGGTGTATCGGCCAATTCTGGCGCGACTGCAGCGATGTTCTGCTTAGGAACCTCGCGGAAAGTGGGACGGGAGAGGTATCTCGGCAAGGAGACGGAAGGTCATCGTGATTGCTGGGGTGGCATCTGCCATCTCGACGTCGGCGGGAGGAGTGTGTGGTACCTCGACTTCGAAGGAGGCGGGGGGTGATTTGGAAGCAGACTTCTGCTTCGCAAGGGAGACCGCATAACGCGGGTGGTTTGGGCTGTTCAGAGCGCGAGCCCGTCGACGAGATGCTGCTGCTGCCTGGATGCCTTTGCGAACCTTTGCCTTCGGATTGGCAAGTCGATCGGAGGGCGGGGTGTTCTCAGAGTCGGCGCGGCGGGAGCAGGTTTGTGCGACCATCTTAGGCGGAGGACTGGAGTCGGCGGGTTGTTGCATGGCGGAGGGTCTGGAGTCCCTCTTATAAACCACACAGACAGGCAATCAAGGGCTCTGCGTGACAGGACGGTGTGACACAATCCAACCTGTCACGAAAAATGCAATCAAGTACAAAATTACCTTCTATGGAAATTCTCTCTCTCCTGCTTGGGTAATTCTGGGACCCACAGGGACCCACACGAAAGCAATCCACTCACAAGTCAACCATATTAGCCTTTTTGGGACATCCTCTGGGATTGCTTCGATGGCAGTCGTTGTTCGGATTGGATACCGGTGGAACAGATACCTGTACAACAATGGCCTCTTGTCATCCGCTGTCCACAGGTCCTCTATTGTCGCTGCGGACGGGCTACTCACCCATTGATCCTTCATGTGAGTGCTATGTCTTGACTCGTCGTCCAGCCACCGTGAAGGGCACGATGTCCGCGGATAGTGTCACTTACATGGTCGATCTCCAGGCGTAGTCGGGACTTTCAAAGATAAAATGTATCTGAACAATGAATGCATGAATGTGTTCTTGGTCACTGGAGTCTCTCGATGTGTTGACTAGGTCATGGGGACAAACGGCCCTTGACGTCGGTGGTTCGCAGGTACGGCAGGCGTCTAAGATCCAGTAAGTGGCGCTTATGTCTGCTTCTGAATGTATATTCGGGTCATCACCCTGCGGGATCTGGTACTTCAAACGTGTGATAGGTAATGTCAGTAGTCCAACCCCTGTCGCGATCATAGGACTCGGACACCTTGATGGTCCATGCTTGCAGCAGGGAGGAGGAACTGACCTTGATAATGCTTCGTAGCACGGCCATGATGACACTGCCCAGACAAAGGTCTTGAATCCGTTGGTCTGTCGGCCCGCTGCTACATCAGCCTCAGTAGGTAACAATACGCCTACCTTGGGAGGGCGTCGTAGCCTTGCCTGTAGGTTCGTGATGATACTGACATTGGTTGCGGTGTCGGAAACAAAGTCTACCTACGCGATGTGCTCAAGGCGTGGCATCGTAAGGGGGGCGCTGTTGGAACCCTGCGTGCACGAAAATAAAGTTGATCTACGCAACACCAGTATAGGCGAATGCCATACGGACATGGTGGTGGCATCAGAGGCCTATCCACGGACGGCGCCCGAGCCGCGACCGGTTGACTGACCAGGTGAGTGGCAAGCGACGAAGAAGCCAACGTGTGGCATGGGCTCGCATATTGCTATAAGGCAAGCCCGGACCACGTCCGATCATCCCTCTGCAGCTCGGGGAGCGGTAACGCGGGAGGAGGGAAGGAGGAAGGAAGAAGGGGAAGGGAGGTAAGTGGCATGCTCTGATCCGTATAAATATTCTAATTGGCGTCAATGGAATGGGGTGCGGCAGTCGGATGGTAAGGCACTTCGCTGATGGTTAGCCTTGGGGAGGGAAGGAGAGTAGCGAAGAAAAAGGCAAGAAATCTCAGTGGGGGGAAACAGGAACGGGGGATGGAATGAAGGGGGTGAGGGGGAGGTTTGGGAGACGCGTGACTGATTGTTTGGAATGCCTAGGTCTCGTGGTATTTTATTTGAGACAGGTCAAAGCGGTTCGAAACAAACAAAGAAGGCGTGCCCAGATCGCATTTCAAACTTAAATCTACAGCAATACATATTTATTGGGAAACCGGTCTGACAGTGCCCTCGATCGACCACGCAGTGTAATAACCGGAACTCAGCTCGATGCACTAAGCTGCTCGTTCTTACTTCGGTGGCAGTAGTGGGGTATGCGGTCACGTGGTGCAGTCCTTGAACATCACATGACCGTGCACGCACACGCGACGATGGGTGGCTTGCAAGTTGGTTGAACCAGACAACAACGGAAGAACGAAGTTTGCTACATAGGCTTCAAGAGCCCCTCAACAACTCATCATCGATAACAACAAGTTTTATTTTTAATATCGACTACCAGACCCATTTTTGTTATATGAACCTAGGTACGCCATGTCAGTCGCAACACAGATTTTGTTCAACTCGCCGGCGCTTCATTCGCTGAAACGCGATCAACTCGTCAAGTTATGCAAGATCCACTCGCTGAAAGCCAACGGCAAAAACAAAGACCTCATCGATCGATTACAACAACATGCGAAGATGTTGCCTCCGGATGATCCGTTGAGCATCGCTACCAGGAGTGATAATCTGGATGCAAAAGTGGGAATGGAGAGCGAGGGGGAGGAATCAGAAGGAGCTAGCGATTATGGCTCAACGGGAACTTATGGACGGTCCTCCACGATCCCTCGTCCCAGTGAACAGTGGGAAGTGGTCATGGATGTCATCCCAGAGGTAGACGAGGAAACGGTGAGGAGCAACCGTGGCGGCAACTCCAACTCGCAGGCGGGAGAGTTTGGCACAAATGGAGGGAAAGGTATATTTCTACGCAATAAATCCCCCCAAGCAAAGAGTGATTGGTCTTATCTGTGCAGCACCCAGCGTCACCTCGTCTCTCAAGTCAATAGTCACATCTCTCGGCCTTAAGCGTAACAACAACTCGAAATCAGACGATACAACCTCATCTTCCAAGTCTGGATTGTCTGGAGATGGTGCAACCGCAAGCCAGGAGTCCATCCCCTCTGTCGCCGAAGACCTCCCTCCTGTTGACCCAATACCAGGGCAGATGAACCTCCGGGGCATGCCTGCGCCCGCCAATGCCAGACTGAGTATCACCCAGGCTCCGACTACGACAACCATCCGCCTCGTCTCCGGTGAAGGGCCGCCTGCCAGTATTTTGTCTCCACCAAGGCTCAAACCGTTTGAGACGACCTTTGACCTTGTCCCTGCCACACCCGGCGGTAACGGCAACGGTGGTCTCTCTGCACCTGTATGGCCACCATTCTCCCCTGGTGTAGCACAAATCCAGAGTATATATCCATCTCTGGCAGCTTTCCAAGGTTTCGGGGGCCTCCACAAACAAGACATCGCACAATCTGACGAAGGCGACCCCACAGATATGTCCATAGATATGCCTGGCGTATTAGCACCGTCTTCCGCACTCGAACCTACCCCTAAGAAGTCAACTCCCATCCGTCCCCATACAGGCGCTGTACCCAGATCCACCGAAAGGCCTAAATTATTGGAACCTGAAGATACATTTTCACCTGGACCAAAGTCGACGAACGCTTCGCCCCGCCCGCGACCTTCCAGATCGGAGCCGTTCATATTCGGATCGCCGCTCCCGCAACATAATTTGTCAAATAGAGAATTCCGATCTGCTGCTCAGTCTATCCTAGACGAGATGAACAGTCGGCTGGCTGCCGACGGTGTTGAAGGCGTGAACATCGATGTCCTTCAGAATCGACAGACACATAGTGGGGTGGAAGGGGCGGATGATAATCAGGCTGATAAAGCCGTTGGTGGGAGTGCCACTGGCATGTATGACAAGGCGCACCAGGAGGCGTTCAACAAGATGGAGTCGATCGTGCAGTATGCCCAGAAGCGTGCCCGAGTGCCCGAGCCCATCGTGTCGAAGAAGAGGAAGTCGAGTTTGGTAATCAAGGAGAGGAAGGTTGGCGGGGCTGGCCGCCGGCGGACGAGTGGGCTCAAAGTCGCGAATAGGTCTGCAAAGACGAAAGCCATCCCTGGTGGTTTTGGCGACGAGGACGAGAATAACGACGGAGAAGAGGAGGAGGAAGATGTAGGCCAGAGACGCAAGTCTAAGCGGCCTCGACTTGAACCCGAGACGACCGTCGAGGCGGACGCTCAACCATCCAATAGCGGTGAAACTAACAAGACCTCTCTCGATGCCGACAAGAAGGAGGATGAAGAGCGCAATCAGAAGGAAAAAGAACTTGTACGACGGAGGCTGGAATACAACAAAGCTAAGCGCCGGAGTAGCATGGGACGGCCGAGCCTTGCTGGCCGTGGACCCCCTACCCGTGAGTGCGAGACTTCTATTGCTGCTTTCTTTTCTTCACTGACATCTCTGCCTATCAGAAAAAGCCAAAGCGACATCCCGATTCGGTTTCTTGTCTACTGCGAAATCCATCGTTCAAAGCGTTTGGAACCGCGGTGCTGGTTCCTCGACGCAGTCCCAAATACCGGTGGCCAAGACACGCAAGGAAGACGCGAAGCCACCCGTGACTGTTCCCCAAGTAAAGAAAGTTGCAGTTGTCCCCGGTTCATCGGGCCACCCTCCTCTAAATAATATGGCGCAAGCGAAACGGGAACCATCAAGAAACATAGCATCCGAACATCCTGCAGCGCAGACATTAGCCCCACCTGCGTCTTCCGCTGAAGGTAGTGGTACCACGTCTTCCCGAACCTCGCGGGCGCCTATTCCCACTTTCAGTCCTCAGGCCCCGAAGACAGCTACGTCCCAAGGTGGACACAACAGGAATGGCTCGGTAACAGGTGTATCGTCGTTGGGAATGAGGACTAGGGCTGTCCGAGAATACTAGCAGTACCTCGATGGGCAAACGAACCAGCATCAAAGGGAAAGGCACCGAAACCAACTCCCACTTGAGACCTACGGGGAATACAGCTAGATCACGACCCTCTTCGACGCTCATGGCCCCCACCGCCAGCTCCCTTGCCAAGATGACCACACGGCACCCTGCGTCTCTTCACAGTGAAAACGTTGGCTCAGTCAAAGGTGGTGCAACCAAGGCAGGCAAGGACGTTACACGTATTCCTGCACCGTCGAGTCCTGCACTCGGCCAGATTACGAACGGTACTTGGAGTCCGCAATCTCCGCGCTCTCCGACAAGCAAGATATTTAGTCAACCACCTAGCCCAGGCACTATGCGTCCCCTGATGTCCCTGACCGCAGCAGCAGAGAGTATAGTCAACGCGTCGTCATCATCATCGTCGAAGCCACCTATTCCGCCGAAGGCCAAAGTATTGCCAGGCCGCAAACCTCGCATCTCGCGTTCCAAAGTCATTGCGAGACTGGCATCGCAGCGGGCTGCCGAAGCGAGCGCACCCGGCGGTGGAGGTGCGGGTGCGGCCCCGTCACGTGGTAAAACGCGGTCGAGTATCGGTGCTGGTGTTTCAGGTAAAACTCGGGTGTCGCGTGGAGGAGCAAAGTCTGGGGATATGTTGATGGGTGCGAAGAGAAGGGTAAGGCAGAGCGAGTATGCCAGACGTAGGAGCCAGGCTACTGGGAGTGATGGCGCTGAACCGATGGAAGTCCGGGTCGACTGACAACACACAGTAAAGGGGTGTGATCTTTTTTGACTTTCGAATTCCAGCCCTTGTTTTTTTTTTCTTGCACTGCGCGGCTGGCCGGTTGTTTATTCTTCCATGGACTTCTTGTGTTTGCATAAGCAAAAGTGTAATAAAGTGAGAAGTTGCACCCACAGTTGATCACCTGTCCAACCGACCCGTCGCATCAATAACGTGACTGTATTAGAGTGACGTAGAGCTCGAAGGGGCGATGACACCCACACGGGGAAAAGCAGTGGAAGCGCGCCATCATAGCTACGAAAGCTATTCTATGATGCCAGCAAGTCAATTGCACTGCATGTCTTTGGTAATAATGAGTTACATATGTCAGTAGGGTGAGCACGATAGGCACCTATAGGCACTCAGATGGCAGTGTCTTACGTGTACTGGAGTGTAAATAGGGTCTTGGGTCCCCCTCACTTTCTTGTATTGCTGTTCCAGAGAGAAATCTTGCGGGGCAAGCAAAATTCGGGGCCGAATACTAAGTACTAAATACTGGCCTCCGCGGCTGATGGGCATATCCGTTAAAGTGAACTCTACACACACAGACACTCACACACACGGAGTAGGTCAGAGAATCTCAGATAGATGGGAAAATTCGTCTGCCGAGGAATATCGAGCATCGACGAGTCTGGCCAACAATGGGGGGGACAAAAGAAGAAGGGGAAGAAGGCCGTTGCTTGCACACGGTACTCCCTGCCAGCAGTGGTTGCAAGTTGCCGGGTCAAAATCGCCAAACACAGTACTTCCAGGCTCTCCTTCCCAGACAACCGCTGCTGATGGTGTGGGCAGAAGTGTACGTACACGCGAACATGTTTTCTTCATCAGTCGGTCATAGCGCGGGTTGCGGGAATTGATGGATCAAGGACGCTTTGAGACATTATAGTATATGGGTGATCACGGTACGCGTTTGAATTCCGACAAGAATTTCCGTCTCGGCCTTCCAACTCCCATCAGCAATGGGGTTTCTATCGACGGGCGTGATTGGTTACACGTGTCTGAGCGTCGTCATTACTTGTGTCTAGTCTATATCAGATATATCAGCTACCGGTAATAGTGGAATAAAAACGGACAAAAAATTAGCACTGTATATGCGAATTATGCTGTTGTAAGTCATGATCATTAGGGCCGTTTTTCACATAAGTATATCGAGAAGGGGAGTGAGAAAAATCGGTGGGAAATCGAGAAGGGCCCATGCTCCATCCCCCGCGTGCCCTAAAACAGGCGCTAGATGTTTGGAGTCCTTGCCACAGCAGCAAGCTGCCGGATGCGGCGAGCTTCGACTGTCGCATTCCACGCCGTCTGAACCACCTGGATAAATTCAATGTCACGGGGCCCCAACGCCAGAATATTCCTCCATAGCCCCTGGTTGAATCGGATGTGGCTGATCAACTGGTCATCGGCGCACAATCGTGCCATCGACTGAGCCATCGCAGGGAAAGCAGGAAATTCTTCGATGACTTCGCTGGGTAGCAACCGGCAGTAAAGAAGCTGTGACCGCGGTTCGAGGCCCAATGCAAATAGTAACAACAATGGTATCGACGACGCGTGGGGTACCAAAGTTGGGACAACGGGAAGCGTAACGTATTGTCCGCCCAGATTAGTAATCCAATGGGGTATTGGGTAAGGAGTGCCGGGAGGACTTTGTGGGATAATATTTTTTCGGAAATCTCTGGTGTAGAGGTCGGCACGGATGGGCACAATGATAGGCTGAAACGAAGGCCCCCGCTCGTTGTCTTGGGTATCGAAGACGGCAAGTACGTGAGAAGGTACATGCGCATCTTTGATGACTCGCATGTCGATCGTTGGCGGGATGGGAGAGCCAGGTGGAAGAGTCACCTTGGCAACGTTGAATTTGCGACAGAGGAGGCTATTTCAATGTTAGTATGGGGATTGCAGTGACAGAGGAATAAGGAACGCACTCAAGGGGCTCGTCATTTGGAGACAGGGCGCACCGCGTTGTAGGCATCAAGCGAGAAGGATGCATTTGCTTGTGGTTGTAAAGAGATAGTGATACCCGAGGACAAGGGTGGGATCAACTGAAGGGAACGACAATGAGGGTGCACTGATTTGTATGGCTGAGAGATGCACAGCGCTAAGGTATGCAATTCGTCAAAACAAGGGACCTGACGTGTGGTAATCAGAACGGAAAATCGTCAGGAAGCCGTCCAGACGTGGCCGGGGAAAGATGATAGAGCTGAAGTGCTACATACCAATCGTGAGTGGACAATGGCTGAGCGTAGGGTACGGGTGAAAGCGTCGGTTGAATCCTGATGTCGTTAGAGGGGAATGAGGGCAATTACATTCACCATGACTATGTAGTAGAAAAATATCGGGGGAAGAGACGGGGAAAGGAGATGTGAAATTTTGGACAAGTTGATGCGTCTGCCTTTCACCCTTTTTAGTCTGGCGACCGGCCGGTCTAATAGTTATGGTTGACACGAGGGCACGAGGCTGATATGTATGATGATGACTTGGGGTCGACCGAGTCGGGTGTACCGTAATATACCGCAGCTTGGGGGCAGGAAGCGTTACATATACGCAGCTGGATCAATCATCGGGCCCCATCAAATGGGCAATGAACCTTTTTGACTCAAAAAGAAAGGAGCCAAATACATACCTTGTAGAAGCACAGGCGGTCGCCTGACCGAGGTGGGTATTACTATGGTTACGAAAAACTGTATCTTCGGTGATTCGTCTGTGGGTCCACTTCGGAAGAGGAAAAAATTTAAGGCACCGTCAGGGTCGCTGTCAGCCGTACTCATGTTGATGGGTATTAGTTACTTAGTAGTAACACCTTTACTTACCTTCCCTTTACTACTGACTCAGTTTCTAGGTAAAAAATAAAAATAAAATAAAAAGTACAACAAGCACTCTGCAGGCCATCGTGCTTTCCCTCGTAGAGCCGGTCGCAGTGGTTGGCATATGGTCATATGTATGTCAGGGTCGACCTCTCAAGTCACCTTTCGGAGCCCAACATACTAATACTCGGGCATGTCGTATCGGGCCCGACTCATTTCAATGTCACTGGTCCGGGATTTGTTCCGGTACATACTACTCCCACCTAAACTTCGCTTCCCAGACGATCTCAGGGAACCTTATACTTTCGCCGAGGCTCGCCCAGAGAACTTACTGACGATCGCGACCTCCGCATCGCAACTATCAGCCTGCTACACAGGAAAGTTCGAGCAACACGAGGCAACATTTGGCCACCCTATTTTCGTGCCATGACAATCAGTGACGTCCAACGCCTACATTTCTACAGAATCCCCATGTCATGATTTACGGCTGCTCTTAAATATGGTCAACACAGCACTGCGGAATTATGTCACCTCCGAGAAACAAGCAGCTCGAATCGACCGAAAGCCTGTCATATTTTCTGGTCGCCCGACCCAAAATCCTTGGTCCCACTGACACTGCCTGTGGTGGGAGACAGCCGAGGTCCGACCACAGCCTCGTCTCCTAGAACATGACACTGAGTTTCGAGGTAGGTTCTACCGCAGAACGTACCATTTCTCAATGTATCTTCAAATCTCGCTGATGCCGGCTGTGAATGACCGTATGACTCAACGTGTGCGTTACACGGACTACATTCTCCGATTTTTACTTCAACTCTGACTTTCTTGGTAAGTGTTGCTACAAAAAATAGGATGGGTCCAGCCTCTTGAGTTTCCGTGGCGATGCTTTACCGTCCAGGACTAGTTCGGCCATAACCTTGGCAGTTCCAGGCGCATTACAGATACCCTGCAACGTTGTCAGACTGCCACGTCCCTCAGTCAAAATTTCGACACCCACCCAGCAGGTATGTCCAGTGGCAATGTAGAGGCCCTTCGCCACTGTCTTTGCTTCGCCTATGATGGGACCCCCACCCCCCCTGTGGCTTACGGTGGGAAGAAAGCATGCCTGGCGCTTCTCGACTGTGCCTTCCCTCAGCTTTGGCGCAATACTCACGACTTGCTCCCTGATACTTTCGCACGCTGTCTGGTCGACCTCAACATCATCCACATTACCAGGAAGTGTTGAGTCGTCGCCTGGGCCGCAAGCATACACTTCGTTGTCAGGGCGAGCATAGATCTCTGGGGAAGCGTGATGGCCTCGCGGTAATTTGATATCGGTGAAGAGCACGTATGGTGCAATGTCTACGCCAGGTTTCGGGCGGAAGGTAACACTGTGAGCGCGGGTTGCAGATATCGGCAAGGATGACAATAAAGTTGGGGACCATGCACCGGCGGCCAGGATGACATGAGTTAGCTGGAACTAATTGTTCCTCCCTCTCAGTATCTGTGTACCGAACGCCCGTGACCCTGCCTGACTCGACCGCTATGCAAAGTTGCGCTTCCTCTCCGAAGCTTGACGCCATTTTCAGCCGCCAACTCCATCATGTTCGTGGTGAAGAGGTAAGGGTGAACCTGAGCGGTTCCCTCGAGGCCTGTTGTGGGGTCCATTAGGGCGTATGATGTCGTGAGCTCTTGCTTAATCCAATTCAAGCCCTCCGGGTGTCTCTTGTTGATCCTTTCCGTATCTGTATCCAATTCCACTCCAAGAGTCTTTTCCAAACTCTTGCGTTTCCCGCCCTTTCCCACTCCGGAACCAGGGTCGCGTTTCAAGTCCTCACCCACTCCCTCCCATGTTCCGCATTCTACGAAGCGAAAACCCCACTTGTCGATTCCATTGTGTTCCTTTGCTAGTCTGACGTGCTCAGGAAATGATATGTCGACAAGTTCGGCGGGATATGCCCATTTAGCGACGAGTCCCCCTGCTTTCCCAGACGCGCCCTGAGCGACTCCGTTGGCGGACGCTTCGAGCACCGTTATCCTTGTGCTTTCTGAGCTGTACAGGGGGTTCCTGGACAGATAATAGGCAGTTGTACAACCGATTATTCCACCTCCGATGATGACGATATCTCTTTGTTGAGCCTGGGCCATGACTTGATTTGCGGACGAATAAATAGAGAGCAATGACAAATTACACAGAAAGCTGGGATGGGAGAGGCTCTTTCCGTGGAAAATGCAATGGGTGCACTCACAAATCTCTGATTTGATGTCTTACCAACTGCTTACTGCCGGTGTACAAGTTGGAATCAAATCACAACATGCCAGTGGCGTCGGAAATCTGTGGCTGTGTTGGTATTGCTGCCGGGACGTGGTATTCCGTCTATCGCCTAAGCGACCGACCACCCTACACACGGATCGCGTTGTACAGCTCCGAGAAACTTGAATTTATTCTTTTTATGAAATCCGACGTGCAAATTACAGTCCACGACTTTGCCGCCAGTGCGGACGATACAGTTCCTTTGATACCGGCAGCCAGGGTTGAGGAGGGACGCGTCATAGTATCTGCCTTGCTTTCTGATACGAATTGGGTAACACCCGTACAACGAATACAGGAATCCGCTTTCCGTGCGTACCTGCGGTTGCACTGACATGTCGACGCGCTGAACTCCCATAGACATCGCGCATCGAGACAGACTGTACGAGTATTACACGAAGCCACCACGGATCGCAGGCGAAATCCACTGGCCCGGCATTGAGGGTGTACAAGAGTGGGGGGTCTTGCCATTGCCAGATAGCGACGAGTGTGTTTCGTTGCAACACCTCGACGAATTTCAAAGTACGGACTTCCGAGAAGTTGGCACCGGTCGGGCTCGTTCCCGCTTCCGTGAGCGAATCCGCAGTCCTGTCGAAGAACCGTTTTCTCCGAGGCGCGCGAAACGTACGCTGGAGTCCGAACTACTCGACTTCCAACCCGCGAAGAGACCCAAACTTGTTACGTCTTCTATTGCAGAAATTATACCTCGGGTTCGTGCCGTTATTTTCCGGGGTGTCGTCAGTCGCTTTCATACAAATCCAGCCGCACTTCTTACCCACTCGTGCAACCAAATTCCCCGATCTCGACCTGGAGAAATGTCCGCACTTTTCGAAGGTGCTTCCGTTGCCTGTCTTACCATACACCGCTTCAACAGTCTCGGAGCTTCTGAGGAGCAAATATCGAAGGGGTTCTTGGCTCATTCCCATACGGGGACAAGTGCCATTGGAAGATGCCAGCGTCGCTGTCATTGTTCAATCTCCCGAAGACATTGCTCTGGTATCCGAGTACCCCCGCCACAAGATAATTTGGACTCAGGAGATCCTGGTTGACTTCTGGAATTTTCTCCTACAGCTCCAACAGGCAACGCGGCTAGGACCTATTTCGTTATCTCTCCATGCCACTTCTTCGGACACGATAGGCATCGCCTCAGACGCCACTGAAGAAAGTGCTGACAACCCCTATCACCAGTTCCATCAGTATTGTTTCAAGTCGAGAAATACGATAGGATCGAGTTTGCCTTCTCATAACACTTTCGCGCCATATGTATACAGGGCACAATTAGAAGCAACGGATTACATCAAGGTCTACCATGACGTTGCATATTCGTTATCTCTGCGCAACGTTCTGGATGCTTACCGGTATGGCCATCTTAGACCAGTTGTTGGAGTTGGAGATGCCTCGATGCAGGGCCGTCCCGGTAACTTTCGTGTCCTGAGAGGCGCTCGGTTGACTTTCATGGACGAACGCTCCAAGGCTGCGTTCGTGATGTGATTGTACTTGGAGAGGTCATGCCCACTTCGTGCACATCAGTTGGCGTCCTGTACACCCTCCACATCCCGCATGTAGACCTCTTCGCGCGGAAGTTCTGCCGTCAACCAGGCGACTTGCTCTCCTGCCCGATTTAGCGGTACAGCCCAACGAAGTGCTTCTCGGACGGATCAAGCTGAATATTTGCCCTACCTGCTCATGGAAACGAGGGTTCACGAAAAAAAAAACCGCCGCCCTGCTTGTTTCTAGCAGTAGATTTTCTCATGAGATAACCAAGTTGGCGGCTTGTCTCGACGTTTAATTCGTCCTCGATTCCAACGTTTACAGCATTGGCTTTGGATGGCATCTACTTCTACTTTAAGTTCAAGGACGCGTGTCGCCTTCCCTTGCGATGTCTTGGAAATAACCCCTCCACGGAAATCCATCCAGTTATGTAATCGCACAACATCACTGCTGTGAGGTTGGTCGCGCCAATTCATTTAATTGCTGTAGATGGATTGGCCTCACGCAATCCCATCTCCTTACGATCTGAGAAGATCGGAGCGCCGTTTTTGCCAGGATTGTTTGCGCCATTTGATAGTCGTTCTATGACAACGGGTTGGTGTACAGGACATGGATGAGGATGATAATTCATCTAGCGGGCTATGAAAACGTTCAGTTCCGTGCACTGCCGCCTCTCGTGGACTAACTCCTTACGTGGACCTGACGGTCTGAGCCGTGGAGCCCACAGCAAATACCCACGACTTCGTCGGTCATTATACAATAGTTATGCAAAGTAGGTACATGCACTTCTACTAAAGGCCCCTCCTGACTCTAATTGGCCAGGTGGCGTGACTTCGACTGTTACCTGACGGGGGTTGGTGAAACTCCATGCCTGTAGTCCACTCATTCAAATTCGCTGCTGCTGGGATGAGTGTGAACGACCGCGGCAAAGGTGTGATTAATGGGCCTATACTTCTCTTCCGGATTTGGCACGTGTCGTCGGCCCGTTACGTATCTCTCCGTGTTGCTATCTTCTCGAAATACCACGGACACGTTGACAAAAACCTTGTTCTGGGCCTGAAAAATTAAGTCCAGCCTCGTGGCACTCATGCTTGCGGCTGGATATCGCTTTCCCGTCCTAACGCCTTGTCGGCCTCGGTTTTGTCCGTCCCAGTCCCTGGGTGGTTATTTATTGACCGGAACTAAGGATCAGAAGGGTGGGTGATGTCAAGTTCCTCACAGCTACACACACCGCTCTGGTTTGCACAGTGATACGCAGTCAGGCCAAGCCGCAGAGATATAGATATATCGATAACAATGGATTAGTGATCCTCAGGCTTTCTGCTGGTGGGGTATTGTATTAGGCTTGCTGTGAGCTATCAGGAGTGGCGGTGGTCCGCTCGAACAAGCTTCAAAAACAGTCCACCATACCCTTTACCATCATGAATATGGTATCGATCCTTTTCAGGACGGCAGCGCCACCGGGTGTAGGTGAGTCCATGAGGCGACCACGCTGTCTTCACAGTGCACAATTGCTGAGTCGCGTTGTATATAAGCCCGCCAGTTGTTTTCGCTCCACTTCTGCACTTTACAATCGATATATTGGGCACCATTGTCGTTCTCTTGCTAAACCTGTCTTTCCATCCTAATCTCTTTGTCCACATGCATCAACCGACGACGGCGTTCTTCACGCCAGAAGATAAACAACGCCACCCGTACCTCTCTTCTGTTCTCGAGCTCAACACGCAAAAGGTGATCGCCACTGCGGCCGTTAGGGTGTACTACGCCCCATTTATCAATCCACATCTGAATTGGACCTACTCTAAACTGAAAGGTATCCTCGTTTTTGGGCGTGATCGCGAAGGACTGGGTTCGCTCGCTGGTGTACCTTCGCAGTTGTTGTCCCCACCGCCGGACCGTGGTGGCGCACAAGGACACGGACTGCGCCTGAAGGAAAAATACTGGTTCAGACTTATCGACGTGAAGACGGACAGGGTTGTATGGATGTTTTCTGTTCCGGAGGTGTTTGAATACTGTAAGGATAAGCCTTTCTTCCATTACTTCACTGGTACCGTAAGTTCCCTCCCACGCTGGTGTGGTTTAGGTTGATGGGCAATGGTCTATACCTAGACCCGTATGTTTGGTTTTTGCTTCGACGAAGACGAAGAAGCGGACGTGTTCTTTAAGAAAGTCGCCGACAGGACCCGTCGCCATTGTGAGCCAGCCCCTCTATTCGCTTGCGTCTTCCCCCACGTGTTCACCCACATTCTGCATTCTAGTCTTTGGTGCCTTCCGCCAACGAGTTAACTCCACTAAGAAACAAGCGAAAGCCACCAATTTGAACCCACTCAAGTCCAAGAACAAATCCAAATCTCTGCCTGCTTCTGCAAATCAGCCTCCAATACGACCAAGTACTACGACACCGCTGAAGCCATGTATGATTTCGGGCCCATCTCCTCATTCATTCGTGCACGTTTCCCATGTCGGAATATCCGCCAATGGCGGCATCGAGTCCTCGAAAAATGTTGAGCCGGCCTGGTCTGCACTTATTGCAGATTTGCAAGGGTATGGCTTTGAAAGTGAAGGAGAGCTTGTGAGCGAGGCTGGTCATGGGGGAAATGGTGCCAATGCCGACTTCATGGAGGGCTTCTTGGCAGGGGCAAAAGCCGTTAAGGACAGGGTCGTTGGCGCGTCAACAGCAGCAGAAGCTGGTGAGTCTTTCTCTTCGTCCTTCGGTGGCCGCGGCATGGTGTGGTTTGCTAACGAGGTGTATCAGCGTATTCACCAGCACTTCGGTCAAAAACGTCACTCACATTTGCGTCACCGACTTCGGCGCCGACCTCTCCGCCCACGATCACTCGAGCGCTCTCACCGGCGCCACCATTATCCCCACCGGCACGAACACTCCCACCTATCCTGTCCACGGGTTCCGCACCCGTTTCAGCACCTGAACCTGCGACAACAATAAGGTCGCCGTCACCAACACCCGAGTCGCCTCCTCCAGAGAAGAAACGCAAGATCCGTCGACGAGTCCTTTAGGTACTTTACTGATCATCACGAATAAGTCAGACTAACATATGCCTCTCATTGTTTTTCCTTACTATGTGGCTTGGCTGGACACCATATGATTGTTGAAAGAAAGTTTGACAGATATCTGCTCAGATCTCAAAATCGCCATTTCAAGCTCTACGAAATAAACATCCAATATATCATCATAACATAACGTTCACGTTAGTGGCACGAACAATTCCAAGTGTACTATAGACATATTGATGATCATTACCTGTGAGAATAGGAGAATTGCAGTAAGCAGTACTAGTTGAGTGTGGATAGTACGTTGTGGATGGTGTGTGAAGAATGGAGACGAGGTCTAAGCGTGGACACAAAAGCACAAGGCATGAGTTGAGGTGTCCAAATCTTGATAGTAACAGTGAGATATGATCCGGGTGGTAATCTATAACGAGCACGTTTCGCGGCCGTCTTAGATAGCACAGCAGGCACCTATTAGATCCATGTGCATGCAATGGACAACTGGACACGAATGGTTAGAACCGAGTGAGATCGCGCCCGAATATCCCTATTTTAATCATCAAATAACCGCTCGACGAGTCAGGATCCGATGTAACCTACAGTTTAAGAACCTGTACAGAGCACCACCGAGCCAAGGAAGCGAACGTGCATGAGTGTGGTGCAAACGCACAGCGAGATGAAAAGGGCCGAGGTTTCGATCAGTCACAGACCGCCACCGCATTTAGTCAGAAAAATAGATAACAGAAGAACCTATTCAGTTGTACCCACCAGTATGTCGGCACCAAAATCCTAAAAGAAAGTGTGTCAGCAATTGGGCCTCGTCATCACAGCAGGATAGGAATAAAGTGATTTGGAACAAGACTCGAAGGAAGTGACCAAAAAGGTAGGAAGAAGACAAGTGACTCACTTATTCCTTAGGCTCAGAGTCATCGTGAAATATGCAGACCTCCACAAGAGCCATGCTAGCCTGCCTGTCTCCCGCGCCTTGATCCCTGATTCAGCATGCGACCGATCATATATGGCTTTCCTGTTAACAACAAACGGTGGTTAGCATAGTAGTTATGGCCAGCACAGATGCTGTTGAGACTGGTCACAACCCTGATTTAAAGCATCCGGTCCGGCATAGGGGAAGTGGCTTGCGGAGGAAATTATGACGTACCAATCGCCAAGGTACGCTAGACTTCCCTGATTGTGAAACTCGAATGGTTTGTCATGTTCCCTTCCGCGGACGATCCTGTTCAGCTTCCTGGAAAGATAATTCGCCTTTTGGTTGGCCACTGCGTTGTTTTTACTCTGTCAGATATGCAACGCGACAAGGAATTGGAACTTAAGGAAGTCGAATAGGTGATCGGAGTGCATGCAGTGATCCACTGCCCGAACCGCCGGAAGAACCCGCTAGTTCACGGAGCAGAAAGAAGAGGCGAAGAACGTAAAAGAACATGTAGGAGAGGGTAAAGGGTCAAAAGAGTAACTTACCCTGTGCGGTAGCAGGTAAAATGTCCGTTTTGATAATTGCCGCATCCCCAATAGCCCAAACATCTGGGTCAACTCTTCCGTCTTTCAAGATGAGGTTTAGATGTTCATCCGTCAGCAAACTGAAGCCATCTCGTTCAACAAATTCTTCAGTACAGGACCGAAGTAAGCTTACCTTTGGGTTTTCTCATGCTTCTGCACAGATTGAATGGTCTGAATCAAGGGATTCGGAGCCAGACCTGTGCTCCAGACAAGCATTCCAAATGGAACTATGTATGTGGAAAAAATTTAACACATCCAGTCCCCATCAAAGAATACGTCCTTACCTTCTCCCTGTTCTTTGACGATCATCTTATCCTGGACAGCGTTAGTCCAGGCATTCAACGTTGTTCACGTGATACTCACATTCTCGACTCTCTCAACATGATGCTTTGTCTTGATATCGATTCCGTCTCTACGGAACTTTTCTTCTGCATAGCTACAGAGTCATCAATCACTTGAAGTCGGAGACACGGCACCCTAAAACGATAGGACGTACTTCGAGAGCGATCTATCGAATGAGCCAAGAATATACGGCGCGACATCATAGAGAGTAATCTTGGACATGCGTGCCAGCCCAGGATAGTGATCCGCTATCTCTGCGTGCAGAAGGTCGTGCAACTCAGCTGCGAACTCGACGCCAGTGGGCCCACCCCCTGTGTGGCAATACGGCAGCTGGTCAAAACATGAACCACATTCCAAGCAGACATCTAGAGCGCTTACCTACTATACAGAAATGCAACAGGTTTCGTCGTTGGACGTCTGAAAGGATGGGCTGGTTCGCCTGCTCGAAGCCTGTGAAGGGATTGAGGTTATAGCACGCCTCGAATGCCTCGAAGTCTGTAGATTCATACATTCGAGGATACGCGTCCTAATGGATCTAGCATCCCGTACGTTCTTAAGAAAGTGAGCGTACTCTTTCACGCCCGGGACATTGAAAGCTGGAAAAAAAAAAAACGTTCAGCGCCTACAATCTACGTGTGCCTCCAGGTTTCGCACTTTGGGAATAGGCGCCAACCGCTATAACGAGTTTGTCATACTTGAGGGTAAAAGAGGTTCCTGTGCCCGGAAACTTCGTTTCTGTTGTCGTCGTTTCTACCGGGGGAGCTGATGATTTTTCGAACGGTAGCGGTGGCGTAGCGGGCATCTAAGGGGAGGAAAACGTGGTACGTAAGGAGGTAAGTGATCTACGACAAGACGCACGCATGTCAAAGTCTTTTCCTTGAAATCTTCAACAAGGGATTAGTGGGTAATGAAAAGATTTGCCTGGTCAGTTACCTATGGCATCACACCACGCTTGGTAGGCCGTCTATAAAATGGGAATGATGAATTGGACAACACACATCTTAGCGATACCTACCACTTGCGGAGAGTATCGTCGGACCTGGAAGGGTCATCAGCTCAAGCACGGGTACAGCAGCAGCGCAGTCACCATACCGGTTCAACGGCACATCGAAACTCCAGTGTCCCTACTGCACAACCCGCAAGCAAGGGTGTGAAATTGAATGCATTCGTGGGCGATAGTATGGTAACATCTGGATGGGAGTCGATCAGTAACTGACAAAATCCCAGACGTGATAGACAACGCACCCCAGCGTTTCTTGTCAACACTCCTGAGAACTTGATATCCTCCCCATCCCGAGCCAAGGATGACAAGACGCTGCTTGTCTCTCGACACAGAGGTACTGAATAGCCGTGCGGCATACACAGACCACACCCTCTGGTTAACCGGCGACCGTAGCTGAAAATGGCGCTGAACTGCATGCATTTTCGGTGCTTGTCAAGGTGGGATGCAAGAGCAATAGCCGGAGCTCCACTATGTAGTGTTTGACGCGCTTAACACATGGCAATGCCAATGACTCCACCGGTCGTTCGGGATATCTCGGATGGCGTTGACGTTATCTATCCACCATCTCTCGTCGGTTCCCGGTCGTGAGCTCTACCTCATACTGCTGTCTCAAGCCGGGTTTATTACGCAGAGTGCCGGAGCAAGTGCTAAGAAACCTTTTGATACCCACCATCAGTCATGACGTCACGCGTGTCAGGTTCAAAGCGGTCACGGATGAGCGCTGGGCGTTTGATCCTCGGGCTGAAGTCAGTTGCCCACCAACGACAACGTTACCATTATTAATCACCACTAAGAGCCAGTTCGGAAACTGGTGTAGAGCATTGCCGAGCATTACCGACTCATGTTGGCTCGCTTGAGTCTAACGGCGCATGCCGAAATTTAGTCGGAGCCATAATCTGTGCCGGGCTGCCGATAGTGATAATCAATCAGCATGTACTACAGTATGTAACCCTACATGTGCCCTCTCAGCCTAGAACAATGCCATTGTCTGGTAAAGTATATTGCGTTGGTCCTCAGCATCATTCTCTGTGCAGTCACACATCTCCTCGAATCAGATCTTGGGTGAGAACCTCAGCCATACCACACCTCCTGCCTGTCTGGTGAAGACTGGGTGCTGGAACTGCTTGCAGGTCATCCAGAACACATTCGTTGCGAACTTGGGATGCATGTGGAGGTTTTCCAGCAGCTTATTGTCACTTTGCAGCAGCTTGGACTCAAGAATTCAAGGTTCATTTCTCTCAAGGAACAACTCGTGATATTCCTGTATACATGCGTCACTGGCCTGCCATTCAGGCATGTAGGGGAGCGCTTTCAATGATTGAATGATATGATTTCACAGTATGTATTTAACACTCCTCTGATGTAACTACTGCATGGAGTTTCCAGTTATTTCCATATGATACTCACCATGCTTGCAACACAACCTTTTTATACAGACTATGTTCGATTTCCAGCTGGTGATACTGTTCCTTTGAAGATCCAAAACAACCCAAAATTCTGGCCATACTTCTGCAATGCTATCGGCACCATCGATGGAAGCCATATCCATGCATCTCCCCCCGCCTATGTACATTCAAACTACTGGAACTGCAAGGGATATGTTTCCCAAAACTGTCTCTTCGCATGCAATTTTGACTTATGGTTTATATACTCTCTTACAGGCTGGGAGGGCAGTGCAGCAGACACCTGTGTCTACGAATATGCGACCACACATGACTTGAGGATTCCCAAAGGAAAGTTTTTGCTTGCAGATGCTGGATTTCCTGCAGACTGAATGTTGCTTGTTCCATACCATGGTGTACACTACCATTTAGCTGAATGGGGCCATGCTAGTGTAAGGTAAGTAATCACACTTACGATCCCCTGACCATCCTACTGATGAAAACTGCAGGCCTGCAAACAAGCAAGAATTGTTCAACTTGCAGCATGCATCGGCCTGCAACATTATTGAACGTATTTTTGGTGTCATAAAGCATCAGTTTTCATATCCTTTCACTAGTTCCACCATTTGATCTCCAGACGCAAGCACAGCTGCCAGCAGCACTTTGTGCCCTTCATAATTTCATCCACATCCACAATCCATTCGAAGGCGAACTTCCAGAAGACTTTGGCACTCCATTTGATGCAGGTGTGCAAGGTGGTGATGGGTTGGAGGGGCCCAGTGTACTGGAAGGCAATGGAGAACATCCAGAGGCACGCACATTGCGCAATCAAATTGCTGAGGCAATGTGGATCGATTACCAGGCCATCCTGAGGGAGAGAGAGGCAGTGGGACACATGGAGCTCCTTGAAGACGAGTCTGACATAGATGTGGATGGCGCTGAGGATGAGTAAGTGGTGAGGAATATACCTAGGAACTACTGCCCTTCCATGTACATTTTTTTAATGTGAAGACTTAATTCCAGCGATTACTCTTGATAAGTCTGCCATTGGAGGCCCCCTCATCCAACTGGCCCCCAAATTGGCTCGAGGACTTCGACAAGCCTTCCAACAGTAACATCAGTGGCACGAACCCAGCTCCTGATCCCTTGTATATCGACTTCATGGCTGAATTTCCCACATTTTTTCCCAACCCTTCGCACCCCAATCCACTGATTCCATCTGCATTGCCCAGTGTCTCAGCGCCCATTGTGGTCCTGACCCAGGGGGTGGGCACACCATCAGCCAGCATCCCAGCATACCCTCCCTTCCCAATGAAGGGGCTGGGCATGTCTTCAGGGAGTGTCAGTAGGACTGGTAAGGAGAGACACACATTTTCTTCTGGGCCCTATCCAACTTCATACACTTCTACCCCACCCCCATCACATAAACCATCTCATGGGTCTGGTTGGTCATCTGCCTGGTCCTTTGGTCCTCCTAGGAATCAACAGCCAATTCTGCCCAAACTCTCAGCTGGGACTGCAGTGTTTGGTCTGACTGGTGCTGTCAACCACATGACCAATCTCCTTGGTTTGATATACCATGACAGTGCAAATGCAAGTGCTGCCTCACCTGCCCCCACCCCTGCTGCCACCAGTTCTGTTGACCACCTTTCCAAGGTGTTGACCCTTCTGTCCACTGAGGACTCCTCGCTACTGGTTGAGGTAGGTGCATTTATGGTGCACACTGTTACTGCAGATGAGAAGAAGGCAATGATGTATGCATCCATCACAAATACCACTCTTCATCAAGCTGTTGCCAACCAAGAGTATCAATGATCAATTGCTGGTCATCTGCAGGAAGGTGGTGTTGATCAGGGGGGACCACTTTGAATTACAATGTAGCTGCATATACTTTCCATACTGACATGTACCTCTTTCATTTGTTGTTGTAATTCATGCTGTTTTGGACGACCCTTCAGTCACATGTAATCCAGAAAGTGGGTCATCGGACATGCACATTTGGTCCTGAAAGTGGGACTAACCGACATCGGCCTATAGACCCTGATGGTGGATAGGCTGACATGTTGGAGGGAGGTTGGCCAACCTCACTGGGGGATGGACTCACACCCTGGAAGTGGTGTCGGCCAACCTCACTGGGGGATCGACCTGCACCCTGGAAGTGGTGTTGGCCGACCTCACTGGGGGATGGACCCACACCCTGGAAGTGGTGTCAGCCAACCTCACTGGGGGATGGACCCACACCCTGGAAGTGGTGTCAGCTGACCTCACTGGGGGATGGACCCACACCCTGGAAGTGGTGTCGGCCAACCTCACTGGGCAATGGATCCACACCCTGGAAGTGGTGTCAGCCGACCTCACTGGGCGATGGATCCACACCCTGGAAGTGGTGTTGGCTGACCTCACTGGGGGATGGACTCACACCCTGGAAGTGGTGTCGGCCAATTTCACTGGGGGATGGACACAGACCTCACCACCTGGAAGTAGGGTTGGCCAAACCCTGAAAATTCCCTTGGCATAATCAATTGCTTGTCAATTTAGATGTTACCAGAAGTATTGACTCTGATGACACTTCCAGATGGACATACCCCCTGAGACCAGTGTTGGCCAACCTCACTGGGGGGTGGCCTTACCCCCTGAATCCATGGCCATTCTTCACCTCCAGGTGATGTCAGTGATCTCACAGGGTTTGAAACTTGCAATGAGCATGGGTAGCCATATATAGGGATCCTTTTGATTCACACCATCTACAGTTTATTTATAGACCAAGACCCAGAGCTCTCTTGGTTGGTTGACGAGCTCTAGTTGATTTCTTGCTTGCCTCTTCACCCTCCTTTGCCATCTTCTGATCAACATCCCCACCATCTCCCCTTTTTCTTTTCCTCACATCCTTTCTTGTATTCCAGGATTCCTTCATGCCACCCCCCTGGGTGGGACAGGAATCCCCTGCACTGACCTCAGTTGTTTCCTGTGCACCAATCCCTCTGCTTGAGCCACCAGAATTCTGCTGCAGTCTTGCAACTACCAGCCCCACTGCACCCATAACATCTTCCCCCTTGTGGATATCAAGACCTGAGCCTAGCAAAAAGCCCAGATTAGCAGCTTCAGGGTCATCTGATTCTATGTCCTGTGCTCTTTTGCACTCCCTCCACAACAAACCAAATCCCAGTACAATGGTAAGACCTTTCTGGGTGGATGCAAACTTTTCACTTTGCAATTGATACAGTGCCTTCCAGAAGGAATCCCCATTGCCATGCATCTCCTGGGGCAAATACTGGGCACTCCAGGCCCAAGATGCCCAGACAGGCAGGTTGACTGGTCCAGCATCAGGTTCCTGTACAAAATGTTTGTTAACCTGGTATTTGAAGAAAGTTTATCACTTACTGTCTCTGGCAAGCCATCTACAAGCTCAACAAGTTCCTGGTACCTGGGCATGATGCAAAGGGACTTTAAATATTTCACCCTGTCCCCATTGGCATGACAAGCAGGGCTGGATTCATGAGGGGTATCTTCAGATGGGGCCCTCCCAGAGTCAAGGATATCCTGGGCCCCTGATGAAGTTGCTATAGGGGTCATACCAGCCCCACCAATTTCTTCCCCTAAATCTGAGGGCTTGGCCTCCACCCCAGCTTCACTGTCCTCCCCAGGGCTCATCCACTCTCTCTTTTTGGATGGGGTTTTCCTGTTCCAGGGCCTTCCCAATGGCTCGTCCTCCTTTTTGCACTTGATGAATGAAACAATCACCTTATCCTCCTCCTCTTGGGAATTCCAATGATTCCAAAGCATCCACATGTCAGCCTTGGTCCATTTTGAAGGATCTTTCATCACAAATCCTTCTGGGATGGAATTGGAACTCAGATACTCCAAATGGGACTTGATAAGCAGGCCCCAGGGAACCTTGGCCTTGGGCTTCCCTGTAAACTTTGCTATGTTTCCAACTTCCATCAACAACTGTAGATGCACTTGACAATCAAGAACATACCATAGGCAGCCTGGAAGACCATTCTTGCCAAACTCTGCTGGACCTTGAGTTTCTGACCAGTCCAAGCTGGTACCTCTGGGTTTCCTTCATCATCCAAGGCTATCTCCACCTTTGGATTCTCATCATTCAAATCTTCCTCAGCTGAGTATGGAATCAACCTAGGTACACATATTACATTGATCACCAACATTTATCACTTACCAGCTTCAGTCAAAAGATAATTGGTTAACATTTGCTCTCCCTTTAGAACCCAATCCTTGGTGGGCTCTGAAGACTCTGAGAAGGCCTTCTTCCCATCAGGGGGTTGTGTTTCAAAGCTAGGTTTCTTCATTAGCATTGGATAGACAAGGTAAAGGGGAACCTACACTGCCATCTTGATCTGAGAATCAGTAGTCTCATGAGCCAGAAACATCACTATATTTGACCCCATGGTCCTCCTGACTGTTTCAATAAAGTCTCTGGCCATGTTGGGAAAATTTTTTCTCCTGTACCTGAATTATTGCATGATTAGTATAAGACATTTGAAGTAGACCAGCACTGACAATTCATGAGTTTCTTTTGGAGCTCCCAACTTATTCCACTTGGAAGCAGCCCTCCCTGCTTCAGCCTTCTTGTCATCTGCAAGAGACTCCCACCACTGTTGGATGATTTTGGTCCTCTGACCTATGGTCTTGGGGTCCTTGGTGTCCCTCCTCTCCCTATCATAGGCATCCATGTCCTCTTTGAAGAGCTGCTGGGAGGCAGTAAAATCAGTGAAGGGTTTTCTGTAATTTCCAGCCTTGGTAGGTCTGGTCCTCTCCTCTCTGCCATCCTCATCCTCACCAGTCCCAGGCTGCTCCTTCCTCTTGTCTGTTGCAGCCAGGATGCTCTCAATGATGTGTTCCTCATCATCCTGGTCTTCAGGGTCTAGTTCTGGCAAAAACACCCTTCTGATGGCCTAAATACACTTGAGATATGTGAAACTTGATGAAAAAGATACCCTACCACTCTCAAGTTCTGGGGCAATTCCACAGATCCTGAAGATGCTTGCTGAAGGATCTGGGATTTCACATCAGCCAGGATCTGGGCCCTGAGGTCAGGATTCCCTCGGGCATCTGTGTACTGCTCCACATAGGAGGACAGCAGATCAGAGTAGACTTCAGACCAATCAGCCATGAGAGAATAAAATCAGGGGGATAATTAGCAGCACAGATGATGGAGGTTGGAAGCAAGGTGAAAATTTTTCAGCCTTTCCCAATTTAGGCAGGAGGTTGAAGTTTTTGGCCATCACTCTTTTAGGAAAGGTACCATTATGGTATGATTGTTTTGATGTATTTGCTATTCACTTTGATTCAGATACCAAGTGCAAAGCAAGGGTAATCGGAAAACTATACACATATACCCATGTTCTAAATACAATCCATTTGTTTACCTTGGAACATCAATTGGGCCTTTTTGGAAAAGTCAGTCCACAACACTATCTGCTTATGAGCATAAGCCTTTTTCCCTGGTTCCAACAATTGTAGAGCCCTTTTCTCCCATATGTCCTTCTGGAACTCAAACCATAAGATGGCCCAAACCATCTCATGCCTCACCAATGACAATTCTTCTTTACACCTGTCCCTTCTTGCCCTTGCTTTGAGCCAGTTGATCCTGTAAACTGCCCCACAATTTATCAGTGAGACTTTTTTGAGTAGTATTAACACTTACACTCCTCCATTAAACCCCCCTTCTCAGCATTCAGTTGACCCTGTTCACCATCCATCATCCAAAACCATGCCATTTTGCTGGTTCCCTGCCCAAACCAGTTCTCCTCTGTAACATCCTTACTCACTGCCAGGTCCTGGGGCTGAATAGCCTGATATTTTTGTCCAATCTCTTGATTGGGTTCCAACTGGAGAATGGCCTGCCTTGCCCTCTGATAACTTCTGACCTGCTTGTTTATCCGAGCCACCACTTTTTGGATGTCCTGCTTGGTTCTTGTACCTTCCCTAGTTGATTGTGCACTGTGGAAGTTCTGTCTGTATAACATTGCCTTGTGTCCAAGGTTGGTTCAGAGCTGGTCTAGACAATCATTAGCTTGCCCAATCCTGAGTTCCATTTCTTCTTTGAGGAGGTCATGAAGGCCAAGCTCCATCAGTTTGGTTGCTCCAATGGATGAGGGCATCCATATACTCATGAGCTCAGCAGGTAGCTCCTCTCCTTCTTCTGTAGCCTCCCAATCCTCATCATCTTCCCAGTACTCTCCATTGTCATCAATTTCTTCACCTTGCCCAAGGAATGCTGGATCATCCTGGGGTATGAAGACATTGTCCACCTCCAAACCTTTGAGAAATGCCTGGCTGGTGCCATGGAATTTGTCAATCCTGGCAGAAAGTCTTTTTCTTTTCTCTGAGACTTTGATTTCTTGTCTGGTAGACATGTGGCTCTGTCTAAGCTCAGATCTTAGCTGGTCCCTGCAGGTCTGGTTAGCAACCTATTGCTTCTGGAAACCACAGACCATACTGTGCATCCTCTATGCTAATTCCTTCCACAAGCCAAGCCACAGAACCATTCAGACATGCCCAGGGTTTCTTAGGAACATACTGACCTTTTTCCCCTTTCAACAAATAAATGTCTAGGGAATCACCTTGATTTGCTTCTGCCTCAAGAACATCCGACTCCCATTGGGCAAGTTGGCCAGGGTCTAGAACAGCTGTCAACTGCTCATATGCCTGATTCATTTCTTCTAGGCACTTGTGTGAGGTCTTGTATTTTTTCAACAGTGCAGGAACTGAGATGTACGGGGTAAATTAACTTCTCTTTGAAGAAAAGGTCTCTCACCCATGTTGACAATTTTTTTCCAGTTAGAATCTCTCATATGGTCATCATACACTTCTTGTCTGTGGGCCTGAGTCATAGACCTTGCAGTGGGAGAGATTGTATTGAATGGAGCCCACAATGTCTCCAAAATTTCACCATCCAGATGACCAGCACCCTTGATAAAGTTGAGGCTATATCTTGGAAAGCAAGAGAGTTTGTGGGCAGCAAAATGAAACTTCCCCACAGCAGGAATGATTTCCAGGGAGGGAGGGAGATGGAGAGAGCAGCTGGATTTTACCCGACTCTGGAAGTTAATACTCCACTGGCACCCAACATCATAAATGACAAGGGCCTTTGTGATGCTTTCTGAATGATAATCAAGAGCACTGCAGATGGAGTAATCTGTGTTCATGTACCTAGCACAAAATGAGTTCCAAAGGCTTCCAGTACATCCATCAGGTCCACTCACTTTTCCCCTTTCTGAAAGTCCACCACAGAATGGGGAACAAAGCAACCATGCTGAGCACAGGCTGTGGCACCAATCCCAGTGGACTGGAGATTGGACTTGTTAATATTAGCAGCATTGATTGCCCTGTGATTGCTGCAGGTGGATCTCTACCAGTACAGTGGGTCATTTAAACTCCATGACCTTGGGACAACTCACCTCCTTGTTATCCAAAGACTGCTCAAGATGGGCCTGGTAGGGCTTTTCAGCAACCATGTAACCAGTTCCATCTGCTAATGACACATCCAACTCAGGCTTGTTCATTTTCATATGCTGAGCAGTGAAGTTGCCATCCATGACATATTGCCTCATTATGGTATCACTAAGGGGGGAGGGGAGTTAGAAATCAAAACCCTACAGATTATCACTCCATACCTGTCATATCAGGTTTTCCAATCTGGAGGTAAATTAATACCTGGTTGTGGGCAGGCAGGACAAAAGAGTGCAAGTTCTCCTTGTCTAGGATCTTGTTCTTTATCATGACCAAAGCCAAACCATTTCCTATGTTTCAAATCCCTCCACAGTCTGGAAACCCTCATCAGCTCTCGGTACCTGTCCTAATTGGAAATGAATGCATTAATAGAACCCCCTAAGAGCAAATAGTGCATGGCACTCAACTGGTATACAGTCAGGAAATGCATTGTTGGTGAACCCCTTCAGCTTCTGATAGAAACTCATAGCTGAAGTCTTGCATTCCAGGGCATCAATGAGAAAGTGATTAAGAACATCAAAGGTGAAAGCAGTCTTGGGCTTTGTTATACTGGCTGGAAAGAGTCTTTCCCTGAGTAAATCAAGGTGCCAGTCAATTGGATCTGACCCAGGGCAATTGCACCAAGAAATCTCATGAGTGAAAATTCCTTCTGTGTGCACTATGGTCATTTTTGATCTGAAGGATCTCCTGCTACCAGAGGTTAA